TTTATGCATGTTTATGACAACTGTCGTTAAGTGTCTTTCGCTCAATTATGACATTTTTAATGCAAATATGACATTGTTTGAGATGTCTTTGTTATGACAACTTGAAATTACTAAGACAACACAACCTGTCATAAATATGTCATAAACATGACATAGCAGATTAATTATCAAACTTAAGAAAGCACTTAGCTTTATGGGTTAACATTACATTAAACTGTCATGCGGTTGGTTTTGACATTGGCTGTCATGAGGCATTATAACTGTGTCATGAATATGTTTCGTGACCTCAACTACAGTGATACACATTGAATTTGTCATTAAAATGTTATAACGGCCTCATGACAGCCAATGTCAAAACCAGCCACCTGACAGTTTAATGTAATGTTAACCCATAAAGCTAAGTGCTTTCTTAAGTTTGATAATTAATCTGCTATGTCATGTTTATGAAGGTGTCATGTCAGTCTTATGCACACCCCTTCAAGTAAAGTGTTACCGTTCATGTTAACTAATGAACATTAGTGTAAAGTGTTCCCTTTTTATTGTATTTGTCATTTCGGGGTTTCATGAACGCATTGAGAAGGGCCCGTGCAGAAGTGAGTTTATGAATATGTGTTGGGGTTTACCGTATAAACCGTGAGCCATCAACATGTTCAAATACTGTATGCAGTTTTGTTTTGATTAGACCCCGTTCTCCTGCAGTCAGTGTAGAGAGTGCCGGAGGATCATGTGACACAGCAGGGCCGCTTCGCTTCATGTTTTCTCTGCATGCACTTTTGCGGGTCCACAGACATATCAAACAAATCCCATGTTTATCCCAAACATGTCTTGGATGTTTTCCCAGTATAAGCAATGCTCGCTCGGGGATCTGAAGCCGGCGCCTGGAAAACTGCAAAGGGTTAAATATAGATCCACACATTCCAGATGAATACCTCAGGGTACATGCTGAGCGAGCGAGTCTCTCTCGTGTGTGTGTGTTTTCACTCCTTTACACACTCTTCATGATTCTCAGCGGGTCAGAACATCACGTGTTCACACACAGATTAGCTCACAGCAGAGTTTTGCATGTTTGGGGAGTTCTGTTCTCAAATATATACATCATAAAACCCATTTCTTTTGTTTTGTATCTTTAAGTTAACTCTTTCCCCTCCATTGACAGGCTTGTTGGGCTTGTCGTGTTCCCACTGTTATCCAGTAGGGGGCGCTGTTACACATCTCCTGAAGAGTGCTGAGTCTCCGGATCAACACACAGGAGGAGAAGAAGAAGCAGAAGAGAGGAATCTCATGTGTAAAATGACGCGATTATCAACATTAAACAGCATATAAATCAAAATGGTCTGTAATTGAAACTTGCCGGCCCAGAAAGTTATTAAAGACATCGTTAAAATAGTCCGAGTGACGACAGCGGCTCAACCTTAAGTTTATCAAGCGACGAGAATACTTTCTGTGCGCAAAAAAACAACAAAAATAACGACTTTATTCAACTCTTCTTCTTCTTCTCTGTGGGCCTCGAGTGAGTTCGCGTAGTGTAACAGCGCAGCGCTTCTGTGTTGTACGTCAGAACGAAGGCTCACTATTGGCCAGCATCACACACATGACCAGCGTCGGCCAATAGTGAGCCTTCGTTCTGACGTACAACACAGAAGCGCTGCGCTGTTACACTACGCGAACTCACTCGAGGCCCACAGAGAAGAAGAAGAAGAGTTTTGTAAACAAATTTGTAAAAAAAACAAATCTGATAAAATTCTGATAAAATGAGCATCAAACAGAAATAACCCGGCGCCGTATACATGTGGTGTTCGAGGCGCACATACAATACAGACTGCCGACAGTTAAACATGGCGCGCGCAGCTCTTAAAGGGGCCACACCTTATTTCCACTCGTTACAGCGTCCATCCTACTGAACAGGTGCCGGTGTACAGGGGGAGGGGATCCGGCCGTGAGTGCGAGCCATCTCTGCGTGAGTGCTATTCACGACAGTACAAGTGCTCCACAGCGACTCTAGGGGGCGCTGTTTGACAAAAGCGGAATTCCTACTCAGTGCTGCTTTAAAAGCAGAGGGTCTGTTATTCCTTTTTACAGTATATATTGCATGTTCAGATATTATTCTGGAGGCCATCATGAAACATTCGTGAAAATGGTCAAAAACGCCGGCGGGAAAAGAATTAAAAACGACTGTAAACGCTAAGAGATCCAGGGATAAATATATAATTTTCTTTTTTGTTCTGGAGCAGAAGAACCGGGGAACGGAACCACACGTGTGACCAGCGTCAGATGACAGAAGAACATGTTTTATACATCGATTTGATCATGTTTATGGCTGAATTAATGAGGGAAAGTTTTAATCGACTTGCGTGTCCTCCTTTATCATCATGAAATTGTAATGGGTTACAGTTTATGCAAATAAATCAATTTTATTGCTATTATAGTATAATGGTCTCACTGTCTGTGTAGTTATAGTTCTGTAAATACAGAATTGATTATATTTGACAATCATATTTCAGTAAGAATCATCATGGATCAAACAGAAGTGTTTCACTGTTTACACTAATAATGTGAACTTAAGAACATTTGTTTGTTCACCTCATCAGTTTGTTACAGTGAGAGTAAAAAATATTGAATAATATTTGAGAATATTTGACCATTTTTCAGACGTACCGTGTTATTTCTTTTATTGATGAGTTATTCTTTACTCTTACACAAGAGAAGGTGTGTTCGGGTGATGTGCTTAGCGTGTTCATCTCTCTCCCTCACACACACACACACACACACACACAGGTTGGTGAGATTACAAGCGAGAAAAGATTAAGTGGCCGAGAATACCTCGGCCTCCATCACAGCTTCTCTGTCCGGCGTTTGAGCAAATGTTCACGCTAACTCGCTGGAACGAGTAACACAGTGAGTATCTTCCACCTCTGTGACTGTACATGTAGTGTTGTGTTGTTTAGACTCGAGAAGTGTTTTCTGGAGCGGTTTCGTCGTCACCGGGAAAATCCTCCACGGATAATCTGCATTCAGAGCATTAAGCGACATTAGTTTAGGAAATGTGTGCTTTCTACACGTTGAAAAAAAGCCCAAACCGTTTCCTTATAGTAACTTAATGATAGAGCGTTCATAGATTTAATCCTGAGTATCAAAATTGATATTGGATTTTTTTTTTCAATGAAAATATCTTAATTAGTTTACCTTTTAAAGAATGCCGTTTCCACATAAATTCAACAGGAGTTTTGTGTAAGATTGTCGTTTAGCATTTATAATATAGTGATTATGATGGTGTCGTGGTATTACGTAGATGAACTGGCTGATTTGAGCACAGCTCTGATGGTTTAATCCAGACCTGTTGAACAGTAAACAACATTAAAGGGATGTACAGTCTGTGATCCACACAAACAGGCTTGAACAACTCAACTTATATCTATATGGTGATTTAAGAAAATGCAATCACAAAGCTTATTTGTAATGTGGTTGAAAACATAATCCAATGTTATCTCCAGTAATGCCCAATATTATAACAAATCTGCTGAAAAGATATGTGTGTTTGGAAGCTGTAGCAATTATAGACATTAAATACACTTCCAACTTAAGATCACTGGAAAAACGAACCTCTACCTACATTTTTCTCCAAACGCAGAACGCAAAGAAAACTACCAATACATGCAAATCATTGCAGTTTCCATCTGACGTTAACAACAGACACAGTAAAACAGCGAGCACTGAACTGTAAAGCCAGATTATTGATTAACTCTTCCCGCGCCAGTGACGGGTGTTTCCGTGTTTCCCCTGTTGTACGGTAGGGGGCGCTGTTACACATCTCCTGAAAGAGTCTGCATCTCCTGATCAACACACACGTGGAGAAGAAGATGCAGAAACATGCGGTTTCACATGTAAGCAGATGCATATGAAAAATAACGCGGTCATCAATTTTAAACGGCATATAAACCAAAACCGCGTACTTTTACTGAATGAGACGTCGACCCGGGAAGGAATAACGACTGCGCAAGCATTAGGGCTGTTGATGGACTCGATCCACATTTGTGTTTAATCATCGTCCTGAGTCTGTGTTTTTCTCAGCTTTTTGCTGAATGTTGCTTTTTTTAAATGAAACTTACCCACAAGTGTTGATAAAAAAGAATGCATGAATGCACAGGATCTGTTCTTTCTTTTGATATTTAATGCATGTTTAGATATTCATACAACAAAATATTCTGGCCATGAAACCTTTGTGAAAATTATCAAAAACGCTGACGGTGGCTGGCAACTTTTTTTTTAAATCGCTGGCGGGAAAAGAGTTAATAAATACTTATTTTCACGTGGCTCCTTGCAAAATACTGTTTTATGATCTCAAAACACTTTTACCATAGTGCATGATTTGTAAACTAATACATTTTGAGGTTCGCATCACATAACCAGCTCTATTTGTCTTTTCTGGCGTAGTAAACTTGCAGCAGTGCAGTCGTGATGTGAAGCGCTCGGGTACGAGTAATGCTACTGAACTGGCATGTTGCTTCAGAAAATGTTTTTTTTTATCCCACGTTTGTTCTTGTCAACACTATTGGGTTTAGTGTAACTCGACACCCTTGCCTCATTTAGTATGCGCGGGTCTATGAATATGCAAATGAGCCCCGCCTCCACTCACTCCCTCAGCTCAGAGATCCACTGGTTGACGATCACACGTTGATCTGATTGGTTACAAGGTCGTTTGTGATGTCAGAAACACCAGCGATTTCAAGCCGTGTTTTTGAGACTGTCTTTGGTTCACTGCAGTTTTAAGCAGAAAATACTCAGCAATGCTGTCGACTTATGAACTTACACATGGTGTGTCTTAAAGCATATTAAAAACACCACATAGACACATAAACAACATTAAAAGCTGGAGTTTCACCACAGGGTAAATGCTTTCACCTGGGCAAAAGCATGATTTGTTACTATTTAAAGTGGCCATAATCATTCTACATTTTTGAGTTCTTTGAGTTAATGTCATGCATTCCTTCATGTAGGATGCGGCTGAATCGTGATGATGATGATGAGTGAAGCTCCGGTTGTGAGGAAGGCTATTCCACCGGCCCAGTCCACCGCTAGTGGTCACACTCAGATGACCTCCCGGCAACCACACATCACGGAGAAGACCTCCTCTAAACGCGTGTGCTTTTACAAAAGCGGAGACTCCCAGTTCAGTGGTCTACCTGTGATCATCAACAACCGCACCTTCAAAACCTTCGGGGCTCTCTTGGACAGCTTATCGAAGCGCGTGCCGCTACCGTTTGGAGTCCGCACCATCACGACTCCTCGAGGTCATACGTCGGTTCGGTCCCTTGAACAGTTGCATCATGGGCAATCCTACATTTGTTCTGATCGCAGAACCGTCAAACCCATTGACCTGGAGCGCGCGCGCCGGAAGCCGCCGCCCTGGTACCACGCTCGACCCGTTAGCGCCCGGCGATTAGCTTGGTACACGCACAGCCCTGCTCAACGCGGAGTCTACAGCGCGAGGAGGAACGAGCGGGTCCTGCTGCATACGCCAAAACGGCTGGTGCTTTTCAGCAACGGAGAGCCAGAAGTGAAGCACACGCTGACGCTGCAGAGGAGGACGACATACTCGTTCGAAGCACTCTTAGATCACATGTCAGAGGTCATGCACTTCCCTGTACTCAAGTTACACACACCTGAAGGAAGAAGGGTAAGGATTTTGCCACCAGATTGCATTCATTTTTAGTTGCGATATTTTATTTTTCATTCAGTTCGGTAACACTTTACAATAAGGTTCGTTAGTTAACATGAACTAATAATGAACTGCATGTATACAGCATTTATTAATCTTTGTTAATGTTAATTTCAACATTTACTAATACTATATTAAAATCTTGTTAACATTATTTAATGCAATGTGAACTAACATGAACAGCTGTATTTTTATTAACATTAACAAAGATTAATAAATACTGTAACAAATGGATTGCTCATGTTTAGTTCATGTTAGTTAATATATTAATTAATGTTAACTAATAAACCTTATTGTAAAGTGTTAACTTCAGTTCTTTAAATCTATGATTTAAATTGGTTTTTCGATTTAAAGGAGTAGTTCACTTCAGAATGAAAATTTCCTGATAATCTACTTGGAAGGTCCAGATGTGAGTTTCAGTGCAGCTTCAAAGTCTCGACACGATCCAGCCGAGGAATAAGAGTCTGATCTAGACAAACCAGCCGACATTTATAACAAAATAAACATTTAGATACTTTTAACTACTAATGCTGGTCTTGCTCGAGCTGTGATGCGACACACATTACGTGATCAGGGTGAAAGGTCAAGCGGGACGTAGGCGGAAGAACCGACCCAGTGTTTACAGAGCGAACGTGCAAATATTTATCTTAATTTCTTTTTGACTGAAGAAACAAGGTCATGAACATCTTGGATAACGTGAGGGAGAGTAAATGATCAGGAAATTTGAATTCTGAAGTGAACTACTCCTTTAATTTGGTCCATTGACCTGAAAGGATTAAATGTTTGGTTTTTTTGCACCCCTACAGGCATCAAACGGAACTCAAAAAATAATGTTTCTCTCCCAGGTTTCCCCTTATTCTCAGTAAACTTGCATTATTACTGTGCCACAATTTAAATGTAAAACAGGACGCAACACCAAGCTATACATGCACGCTTTGGACACATGCAAACAAAAATAAACTATGACTCTATTTCCAGAGTGTTTTATTTGATTAGAGTGGTGACCATGTCAGGTGTGGCTCTGGTGCAAGTAAGCTGGCCCAGTCATAAATAGCATTTACAGACCGAGGAAGACCTGCTGCCCAGTGATGCTAATCCTCTTTACCATTTCATCCTATTATACTCTGCAATCTGGGATAGAACACAGAAGGGAAAAAGAGGCACGGCATATAGACCACCAAACCAGCTTTATTAATAATGCTAACTTAAGTGTTCTTCAGGGCATGATTGTTATTTATGGTTATTTATGAAGTACACATTCAATAGAGTAACCTATATATATATATATATATATATTCTCAACACTTGGGTAGGACCCCTTGGGCGGGACTTGTAACGTTATTTTTCCACGTGCAGGAACTTTCAATGAGAAGCCTTTGGTGTCACACACAGATGCGATGGGAATGGGAAATATATCCTCATGATGACATTATATATTGGGGTATAATTTTGCCATTATGACATATATGTTGGGGTGTGATTTTTTAATTTACATTTATTTTATTTACAACATTTAGAAATGTTTGAGCACGTAACCCAACCTCGACCCCCTAAACATACCCATTTGTGTATTATATAATATAAAACACAGGATATAACCAGCAGATACGACTAGAGTCACAATTTATTCAAAAAGTACAAATATTCCAAGTGTTCAGAGGCCAGACGATTGATTTGTGTGTGAAACGGACCCAAAAACGATCCGCCGTGAAGCTCAGATCATGTGCACGTTCAACATTAGCTGCGAAGCTTAGCGTTACGTCAGCTCTGATTGTGAAATGCCATTGGCTCTCGTGTCGATTGTGTCATGCTAAAGTTTGGCTGTATCTTTTGAATGAGATATTACCTCGTCCATTCATGGACTGCGATCATTTTCAGTGATTAAACCTTCCACTCTTTTCTTCGGGTGGGGTTAGTTAATCCAAAAAATCTACTACTTTTACAAATGCAAAGTATTAAATGCGTCTTCATCTGACGGATATGGCAAACAACTGAAAGCAATGGAGTGCCCTGAACGCCCTGACCAAGTGTCAATATGTGACGGGTTGGGAGTGATAATGTGTTCATATTTCTCTATAAATCCATATGGGCCTCAGTTAGTCCAATAATTTAGTGCTGATACTACAAGAACACCTTTCAGGTGTGACGATTACCTGAAGTCCTATAGAATCACTCCAATTCATCGGCTGATGTCGCTTGACACCACCTAATAAGTGCTGCATAATCAGCTGCCTATAGGAGTGTGCTTGCATAATCTCCCTCAGATTTCTGTAAAAAAGCTATAAAGGGAGTGTGGCTGAGATATGTAACGCCTACTCAAGGAAACAGGATTACATGCTTAATCCGAGACATTCTCTTTAATTTGTTCTGCAGTAGCTGATGCTCTGGGAACTGTATACCATATAAGAAAGGGGCTTTCGCACCAGGTAGTTATAGGAACTCAGTTATAGGAACTAGCCTCCAGACTGGTTCCCCAAGAACAAAATACTGAAGGAGCTTATATATGTATACAGTACTAGGCGTCATATTCCTATAGGTAGACGTGGATCAGCTGAGAGTCAGCTGATGCGAGCTTGACTAACGTGACGTGCCATAACTGACACTACGCTTAATTTATGTAAACTGTCTATTTACAAAGTTTTTTTTTTTTAAATGGTGGGTGCCAGCGTTTCGCATGCGCTTGGCCAAACGACACACACTTACGTCACTGGTAAAGATCCTATTGTCCCATGTTAGACTCCACTCTGAAGTAGGAGCTAATTTAGTCCCCTCAAAAAGGCATTCCTATAACTAAAGTCATGCGTTGCAAACTAGCCAAAAGTGGGTACTTACGATTATAGTCAAAAGAACTATGATGACGTTCCTGCGGTGTGAAAGCCCTTATAGCTTCAACCTCTACCAGCCTGCGTAACAAGCATGTTAAGCACACACTGTAACATTTAACCCTGATCAAAAACTGAGGAGCAGGTGTTAGTCCTCTGTTCAAATTTCTCTATAAAATCCAATAAAAACTATATTGGGTTAAAGGCCAAGAGGAAGCCAGGAACCATTGGTGATATCAATCCGCAGACCTCATAGGTGCACAAAATTGCTTTCACTAACTTCTGGAATAGCCTTTTAGGCTACACCCTTTTTTCAGTCCCTAAAACAAATAAACAACTGTTCAGACTCACGCCATTGGCTGCTAGTGCAGTCAATGTAGATCTGCAATGCTCTTACACAACATACACATCCTCTGCTAAGTCTGTAATCATTTACTCACCCTTATGTCATTCCAAACCTGTACAACTCTCTTTCCTCTGTGGAGCACGAAAGAAGATATTTTTTGAAGAGTTGAATAACTATTTTTGTCCATAAAATGAGTCTAAGAATGACATCGGACCCTACTGCCCTTTATTAAAGCCACACTCTGCTTGAATTTGACTTTGTTAACTCTTAACTTTAATAAATGACCTAATCCGACAATTATGAAGTGCACTGTATTGTAGAATGACTACTAACTACACTAATATTTTATATCTGCTTTATTGACAAATGATAAAGATGTTTCACATTATCATAGGTGGATGGGCTTCCTGCATTGATCTTATGCTCTGGGGTATTGGTGGCCGCTGGCCGAGAACCCTTCAAAAAAAGCAACTATGATGTCCAGAAGTCATCTCCACCAAAGTGGCTACCGGCTAAAAGACTGGGACGGCGGCGTCCAATAACCAGTAAGTTGATTAATTTTACTTTTATTCCAGAACAGAGCTCAACTGCCATAATAATGAGGAAAAAGTAACTTTGCAGATATTCAATACTATAAAACATGTGTCTTACTGCATGTCAAGATAATCTATTACTGAGACTGTCTTGAAGCAAGTGCTGAGGCATTCATATCGACTGTAATACCTACAGTGACCCACTTTCTTCAATATGGATTATAGCATACATGCTCTCTCTCTAATCTGTGTTCCTATTTTTCTCACTTGCATTGCTTTACTGCTGTCCTGACTTGATCCAACAACTCTTCATCTGTCAACATATCACCAACATTATAAAGGAAAAAAGAAATCCCGCAGCGCCAAATCTTGTCCCTTCTCCCTATCTTCAGAAAGCTACATTGTGAATCAAATACAAAGCAGTTTGCCAGGAAGTATGTGTGATTTTCCAAGCAACCCAAATGGCTCTGTGGAAGCAGCTACTGGATATCATCTTGAGTCAGTTTCTGAAACAGAAATAATCACCAGTCTGGATGGTGAGAGAGAGGATGACTCACACATGCCCTCTGATGATGACATTGAGAAATCCTTTCGGGTCAATCAAGATGGAAGTATGACCGTTGAAATGAAGGTACGCCTCACTATTAAAGAGGAGGAAACAATACATTGGACAACCACAGTCAGTCGCTCCAATGTGTGCAATCAATTTCTAGCAGCCACTCTTCCCTGTCCTGACCTGGAAGCTAATTTAGCGGATAGCTTACCCCCTCAAAATGATCCTGGTGCCATAGAGGTCAACAAGAGTGACCCCAATAACAGCAGCCGCTCCTGCCCTGAGGAAGACTGTAAGGTAAGCATGGAGTTAGAGCGGCTTTGTTCCCCACTTGCTCACAAACAAGGATCCATCGAGAGCATCATAACTGCTAGTGAAATTCATAAGAACTCTTCATACTCTTACATGGAAGATCTGGACAATGGAGAGGTGAAGCAGAACCACCCTGTTCCCAAGCCTCGATGCACTCTTCCCTCTGATACGAACACCACCACAGCGATACAGTCCAGTGACTACAGATCTTCAGAAGTCCTCCAGTTCCAGGACTATCAGAAAAAAGCAGTGTTACACATCTGTGAAGAGCAGATTTGTCAAGAGAACTTCTCAGGCAATACGCAACATGGCTATATAGCATCTTCTGACACAGTATCCTCAGATAAAACATTCCATTACTTTAATGAAGATATGAAATCTGAGACCTTGGCAACTATCAAATGTCAGTCAATTAGGAAAAAAGATAAACCATATGCTTCCACTTACAAAACAAACACCTCCTCAACACAAAGGGCCAAGGTGTCAGTAACACCAGTTACTGCATCCTCAGAAGCCTCGGTATCTAGAGGAGTTATTACTGTTGATACAACCACAAAGAGGAAGTCAGTGAGAGTAATAGTGAAAAAGAATCACTTGTTTAGGTCTGCTTATCCAGAAAGAAAGCAGAGAGATAAAAAAGATGACATCCTGAAAGAAATAAAGAAAATAAGAGCTGATATATTGAGCCAGAAAGGAGCTATAAAACATTTCAGAGCAAAAGCGGTTCAAAAACTTCTGAAAAGGAGAAATAATAGTGGGAATGGACTAAAGCCTCAAACAGAGTGTGTTCAAACGAGTACAGACGACCCAAGCCCACAATTGGTTGATAAAGAACAAAACAACCTACAAGTTCTGCCAAAGGAAAACCTCCATAATGCATCCCTCAGCAAAGGCACAATGACACAGCAAACATCAGACTATGTTGAACTCTGGCTACAATCTCAACAGATTCCAGCACAGTCCTGTTTAGAAGCTATACCCAAAAATAACACAATGGTAAAAGCATCACTGTTCAATTATCAATCTTCTAAGACAATACAACCATCAACAAAGGACACATTTGATGAGAAAGGAATCCATGTATATTCGCCAAACACCAAAAAGCCAGCACTTTCAGACAAAGAACAAAGTGATCACTTAACAAAAACAAATGGAAATCAACAGATTTCTGAGCTAATAAGTAAGACCTCCTCGTATGACACAGAAAATACTTTGAGGAGACCAGTTAATATCCAAACAAAGCCTCTAACAGAGCTGATAGATCTGCAAGCACAAAAATACTATACAGTTAAAATGGCTGTAAGGCCCGATATGAAGCCAGTACTTGATCAGCTTTGCAATTCCATTCAGTCACTTCGTGAGATCACACAACACAAGCGGTCATTATGTTTGAAAACATCCAAACATCTACCAGATTTTTCTTCATCCTTGGCATCTAAGTTTAGCTCTTCCTCCAGGGTACTCCTTGCCTTTCTTTCTATCATGACTTTAAAGGATGGCTTAAGCCATTTAAATACATGTCAGACTGAGGCCAACCTAAGCAGTTCTGAGGCAATGCTCATGCTGCAGTCTCTACAGGACCTGGCAGTAATAGAGGATGCAGAACATCTAATGATAAGTCTATCTGACCTCTACAACTCAGCATCTGTTCAGCTGCTTCAGAACTGGAAGGGCTTCCAAGTACTGAACAATAAAGCAAGAATTAGGGGTGGGAGTGAGTCCCATCACAGGTCAAGTATAGAGGAGGAAGAACATTCAATCCAAGTGCTGATGGAACATCTAGGTGTTCCTGAGAGAGTCCGAGAGGAGCTGGCAGCCCTCAACCATGCAGATGTAGAGTACATGATTTGCAATCAGATGGAAGACACTGACACAGTAAGTGATTCACTCCCAGAGAGGAATATGAATGGCGTTTCAGAGCACCGCTCGAAAGAGCAGATGGTTAGTTTCTCAGAGTTTGTGCTGGAAGATTATGTGAGCATCTATGTTAATTCAGTTATTGACAGAGCTATAAATGCACACCTCACAGCAGGCTCACAGGCAAGACCTGATATGGACAATCTTGTGATCACTGATAAATACCAACGAGATTTGAGAAATGAGATCTTTTCCAACATTAAGAGAACTTTTCAGGGTGATGCGATACCTGACTCAGATATCTGCGAGGATATGTCATCTAGTGAATCTAGCTTTGAGGCAGAAATGTGCCGAGAAATGGGGTTAAAGAGAACAGGATTGCAAGGAATGGAGAAAGTAAGACGCAAGCGACAGGAAGAAGAAGAGACTGTCAAGAAACATCAAGAAAAGGAAGAGAGACAATGGGAAATTGATGAGGGAAGAGGTACATGGGAAGAAAGTAGTTCTGAAGTAGAGAAGACATTATTTAAAAAAGAAGTTGTCATAGAAAAAGCGGTAAATGATATCGAAAAAATCATAGACACTGTTGAAGAGGAAGGAACTAAATTATCAGAGGAGTCACTTATTACCTGTACAGGAAAACTAAGTTTCTCTGTGAAAGAAAAGTTCCGCCAACTGGAGGAGAACGAGAGTGAGATCTTTCCTGAGGAAAAGACTTTCAATAAAGAAGAGAATCTTACTGTGAAAAGTCCTGGGCTGAAAGATGTAGTAGAACAGATATATTCAAAAGAGAAGATTTCAGGACTTTGGAACAACGAGAGGGATGTTGCATTACCTGAGGTGCAAGGTATTTCTCATTTTGATCATATTGAATCAAATACAGAAGTGGATGAAATACAACATCAAGACTTGTGTATGGAAAGTGGGACTTATTCAGAAGAGGAACAGGTGATCCTAGAAGCGCCAGAATGCTACACCATCTACCAGGAGGACTTTGAGGAGATGTCTAATGAAGCCACAGAGTGGGAGGAAAATGACATTAATTTTAAGGAAGAAATAGCAAGCACTGTTGCAAAGCTTATCTGCAGTCTACAGGACCAGGAAAAATCAGTGTGTAAGAGACCTTATAATACAGCACAAACATTTGGCGAACAGCTCTTGAACCACATCAATGAACCAAATCTAGAGGCAGCAGAGATTACCAAAACCACAGATAGGGCATCAATGGATTCAGTCTCATCCTCATTAGCATTCAGCTATGATTCCAAGAACAGTGCTTTGGCAAAAGATTCAGAGGTACACATTCAGACCAACAAAGTGAAATCCATCAGAGACATGTTTCTAGCTAAGAACACTACAGACATACAGCAGAGACAGACACAGCCGAGAAGCCCAAGTTCTGATTCGGCAGAATACCAATTTGAATCTTCTGACAAAAAAGAACACCAATCCTCAGGCGAATCAAGAGAAGAGGAAGATCCATGCAAGTTGTCTATTGCCAAAGGTTACGTAAAAAGTACTATTGAGCGGCTTTATGGACAAGGCTCTAAAGGATTTAGTTCTGATGAGAAGAGATCTTCTTCAGCCCACAAAGTCAAGAAAAGAGAAGGCCTTAAAGGTACAAATTCCCCCAGGCTGCCCTCAATCAATGAGGCTCACACAAATGCCATACAGGATTTGTCATACTTTAATGCCACAAGCACAAGAGACGGCTTCAATGAGCCAACGCATTGCGTTACTCTGAATGCCAGGGTGGGACCAAATGATGCAGTCCTAATTGATAAGGGTCGCTGGTTATGCAGGGAAAGCCAAACGAGTCCGAAATCGTGTCCAGAGAATGAAGACACACTCAAGCATGTAAAGTCAGAGCAGGATTCTGGGAAAGAGGATATTCCATATTCCCTATTTGGCCATTCTCCTATCATACCTGACAAGGATTCGTCTCTCACAGAACAAGGGGAAAACACCGGGTGCCTAGGGAGGACGTTCACCTACTTTCACCTTCCAAATGCCAATGATTCAGAGATACAGCCAGAAGAGCAAAACCCTGACCCTCCAGAGGGGAAAACAGAGATCAAGGGTAGTCCTTTTACAGAGCCTCCTAAATGTTGGGCTGAAAAACACAGCATTGTGTCTGTCTTGACACCACCTTCTAATAAGGTGCATCCAATCACAGAAACTACACCTCCAGTAGTTACCCAGCCAACTAAAGGACAAAGCACTGAAGTCACAAGACGCTCTGCAGAACCTGATGCACTGGAGATTATATATATGTTTTGTGGACAACACTGCCCCATACTCTAAACTTGCTTCAGATTGTGAAATAATTTATTTGTACTATATCGACAATAGTCCTCACCTTGACATTGGCAATGGCCACCAACATGAACTCAAACTGAGAAGAACAAATGCTAGGCTGGCTTTGGGCAAGCTTTCAGGTTACTTTGGTGGGCAGAACTTTGAAAAAGGTGTGAATGAGTGTTTAAGGTGATATTACAACCAAGTATGCACACTTCGTAGTATTTCAATATAAACATCATTGCTAAATTATGTATCCCGCTAATCATTATTAGAAATCTGTGGGTGATCTTACCTTTGCCATGTTTGTCTTTTCCATGATTCAAAGAGAATGTTATAATGTTCCGCGACAGAATGTTCCTCAATCCCGCTAGTCTTGGGCTGGGCATCTCCGGCCCTCGAGATGCACTCTCCTGCTGAGTTCTGCTCCGACCCTGACCAAACTCACCTGTCTGTGGCTCTAGTAACCCTGAAGGTGTGTTTGGAGAGTGGATCTCGAGGGCCGGAGATGCCCAGCCCTGGTCTAGTCTGTCTGTCCCTGATGAGAAGCAGTGGCCGCTGTGCTGGCCGTGGATTAGCATTCAGGGAAGATTGATTCGCACAGAACGAACTACGACATGCTGAATGGGCGAAGAGACCATTTATACAGAATGTTTTTGAATAAATGCAAGACGCAGTGCATTGGAATGGAAAAATTTGCAAGATCTCAAGATGCCTTTTCAAAAGTTGAACTTCTTGGCACACCAATTTTACTCCAGAATAAGACAATTAATGAATGGCATCAACCAGTTTTTATCATGACTCCTCTAGCACATTATAAACAGAGATCATGCTCTGGGCAACAGCTCTCCAGCCTTCATTTGCATGACAAGCTTTTTCACGAAATTGTGCATCCTTGTTTTCTTAGGATGCAGGGAAAGAAAAGGAGGATAGAGGAATCAAAGAAAAACATATTTGTCTATTGAAATGGCCACTCCCCAAAGTCTCCGCCTGCTGTAGACATGCTCAACCTCTCGCTGTTGGCGGAGCTGGAAGAGCTTATCTGTCTTTTTGCCCAAAGCGTAGAACATATTCATGTGATTTCTATTCATCTACCAGTGTATGTTGTATGACCACGCTGCCTGTGACCACTAAGGGAAAGTTGGAGATATCACATTTATTTCAAACAATTATAAATTTGTGTTTGTAAGTTGTATGTATTTATTTATTTGTAAATGCAAGGCTTTTTAGAAATGCCGGTAGATTTGTTCAAACGTGTGTTGTTATTTTGGTAGCATTAGTAGACTGTTAGGGTTCGGGTTAGTAGAATAAGTCGACATGTAGTTGAAAAGTTACTTATAGTCAGTAGAATGTCTGAAATGGACCATCGAAATAAAGTGTCACCACCTTTATATATATATATATATATATAAACCTATAGTGCAAGGTTTTTCATAGAACCATAGATGCCAATTAAGAACCTTTATTTTCAAAACTCTATTTATGAAATATGAGTGTGAAGAAGCTCGATACAGTAAGACTGTGTAACTTGTGTACGGTACAATACGCACAAAAAACTTGTACTGTTTTTTGAAAGTGAGACTCCTCAATCAATGGCAGCTTATGTGTATTAATAATTAAAAAAAAAAAAAATTTGCTCAGTTAAACGTGTGTTTATTATGTCCTCTTTTTCATGAACTGGAGATCTTTCTTTCTCTGCCATAGACTGTAAATCCACTCAGTGGCAGCAGAAGTTTCCATAGAAATCTTGTCATTAAAAATGTTGAATTATTGATGAGTCCTGTGTCTTTGTCTGGGATTTTTGTTTTGTTCACATCAGTCTAACTTATACCCACCCATACACGATAACACCAAGTAAATAAAATGTGCATTATTATTTATTATTCTTTTAAACATTTTTGTCTTTATATGCATGCATTTTAATCAGTGAAGAGGTTACGTGTAATATTCACACGTTTTATTTGAGATTAGACTGCATGACTATTTAAAATGGTCTTGTTGAAGGGGAAAAGGGGATATTATTAGAATATCTAACATTTTAAATAAATATAAATTGGAATTAGTGGGACAGTTAAGCGTTTTCATTATGAATGGCTGAGCTTCAATTAAGGTAAATTAGATGAATCTGGTTAATAAAAAAGTAAAAGTTCACTTAATTGTTTATTTTATGTGGATTAGTGTATCAAACAATATAAAGCAATTCAAAATAATTGGTACACAATTTTTCCCTCTTTCCCATAACAGCAAAGTGTGACGACACGAGAATTTTTGTTTGCGACTTAAGGTAAAAATCATATATGGAATTTAGATCCTTATTAAAAGTGTAAGGGAAAGTCAATTTTAAATTGTACCACTTCACCAATATCCATATCTCAGGTTATGTCTATGACCGTGGAAGGAAAAATCACATTTATTTTGGCGCACACATAGGCCTGTATAATAATTTTATCACGTAATTTTTCAGAAATTTTGAATTCAGGTCTACAATTTAATACGCATTATAGAGACACTTCATATTTAGTGTTATCAGATGATTTGGTAATTGCATTTAATAGATGACAGCTTCAAAGAAACTGCAGTTTGTTTGTAAAAGCTGTTTTTCTGCATGTTTTGACTGAGTTTCCGCTGCATTTACACTGATCTGACCAGCAGGGGTCGCCAAACAGTGAATCATTTTGCCAAGCAGTTTAGTTTATTCAAGTTTCTAAACACTTCGTTTCTCCGGTCACTAAACAGAACTGAAAACACACTAAACTAAACCACCACAAAACACACCAGATCCTGAACAAGGGAAACACACAACTCGCCTATGCTACGCTTTAAAGTAGTTATACTTGTGAATGAGTAGAATAAGATTTGGTACATACATCATAATTGCGTCTTGCACCGTGTCACCGTTTAAACTGATCTGTCAATCATCTTGTCAAAGTTAAAATCATTAGATTTAATTTCCTACCGTTTCGGAGAGAAATGCAGCAGCTCGTCGTTGATCTGCCAGTCGTGAGTCTTTCGGAGACTCTCCTGGTGTATAATGATGCATTTAATAGTTAAAGACCAGCCGTATATTAATTAAAGTTCACAATACTGTTGCATTGTAAATAACATTGAATAAATATCCTTTCGTCAGGTTATATACGGATTAATCACTCAAACCCCTTTATTCAAACCTCTCTATCATCTCACAAATCCGCCATGTTTGTAGTTCTAATCGAACCCTCGTCTAACGCGCAATGGGTTGTGGGAAACTTTAGTTGAAATAAACTGGAAACTACCATCTTTGGAATGATCATTTCAACATACCACGGTTTGGAAAACTAATTCTAATTTTGAATACTATTAAGGGTGGATAGCATGTGAACTGGGACGCAGCAAAAGACTTCAATACAGACAGGGATGAATGGCAAACATCAATCAGAAAACTACAAACCGACTACAATCTTAACAGGAACAAAAACAGAACAAAAGTCCCAAGCAGGGACTGTAATATTTGTATAACAGCAGTTTGGGGGATTCATTTTATGGCACCTAAATCTCCTTTACTGTACAGCAGTGGCTAGTACATAAGCTCTGCACACAGCCATTCATGGACTCACTGATTAATATTAACACCATAAATTACTATAAATTCCCTTGTATGAGGCTTACCATAAAGCTTACATGAAATGTTAGTAATATGTAACTGTCATTTACTTGCTAAACGACAGTAATTTTTCAAATTTTCTCAATCCCATAGATATGAATTTACACATGTAAATGTGTAAGTTCATAAGTCGACAGCATTGCTGAGTATTTCCTCCTTAAAACTGCAGTGAACCAAAGACAGTCTCAAAAACACGGTTTGAAATCGCTGGTGTTTCTGACGTCACAAACGACCTTGTAACCAATCAGATCAACGTGTGATCGTCAACCAGTGGATCTCTGAGCTGAGTGAGTGGAGGCGGGGCTCATTTGCATATTCATAGAACCACGTATACTAAATGAGGCAAGGGTGTCGAGTTACACTCAAGATATTTTAAAACACAAGGAAAAAAATTAAATATCACAATCATAGAATCACTAACATAAGTTGGAAAAAGTCAAAAAGAGATTTGAAACAAAAAAGTGGAAAGATTTAAAAATACACTTTTATTACACAAATAAAAACTTTCATAGAAACGTTGAACAAACACACGGCGCTCCAGGACATGATCAGCTGGGCTTCTTCCTCAGGGTCGTGGCTCTCACGGACTTCCTGATGGTGCGGCACAGACTCCCAGTGGACGGAGGAGTCATGGACTCTTTAATGTTGAGCAGAAGACCACACCGCGGACGAGACCCGACACACACACTCGCCCGAGACGAGCCGACACACACACTCGCACGCTTCACCTCCTCACGCAGACGGCCGATCTCCTGCTCTCGAGCGCTGGCATCACTCTCCAAACACTCCGCTTTCTGCTCCTGTCAACACACACACAGCTCTCAGAACGAGCGCGTCTCTCTCTTGAATCCGACACTGAGTGAGTTAACCTGCAGTTCCTCCACTGGCCACTAGAGGCCGGCTGCAGAAGAGACTCACTCCCATAGACCCGCATGTTAAAATGCCCAACTTTACAGCAGAATAAAACATGTTTACACTCTGGTGCAAAAAGTGGTTTTGGTCTATATCACTAATGTTGCCCTTCATGACGACTGTGAGGGGGGTGAATATTTTTATAACTCATCCGTTTAAATTATATTAAGCCTTAAAGTTTTGCATAATTAAGGATGTGGCCACTTGAGTGACAGGTGGATTGCCGCTGATGTCACTGCTAGCCGTTTGTCTGCTGTCTGTTAGCATCACGTCACGTCAGCTAATCCGCCTCGCTGCATACGATCGTTTATCCGGGGAATGACGCTGCCAAGATGGCGACGGCCGGCTCCACCCACTTTGGGTTTTCAAAAATGCTCTGAACGTCACGTCAGGGTGACGTCACACTCACACATTTTTTTTTACTGTCTATGGTCAGCACATAGGTTTCATTTAAGTGTCCTAACCTGATTCGAGAGTCTGTTTTGTAGAGTTTGGACCTCCGCAAGTTTTTCCATATAGCTCTCGCCGGCTTCCTGAAGCGTCTCGTTCAGCTCGCCGATGCGCCGCTCGAGAGACATGATCAGCTGAAACACAGAGCAGACACTCACGATTCTGCAGACCTTCCAGGAGTTCTCCATCTCTGGTGCGTTTACCTCTTGCTTCTCAACACACAGATTCTCCACCGCACACTTTTCCTTGTACAGCATCTTATACCTTTCTGCATCTGCAGTCAATTGAGTGAGATCATACAGAGGATTATTTATATACTGAACAAGCTGTATATTAGATCTCTACCCCTAAACACCACCGTCACAGAGCCTCCTGCAGTTTTACATTTTGAAAAAACATTTAGTATGATTTATAAGCCGTTTTCCTCGTAGGGGCCAAAAAAAAAAAAAGTTCCCTTGAGGACAAAAAAGTCAGGATTACACACACACACACGATACCTGTGTCCATGGACGGCAGTGGGCTTGTCTGCGTAGAGTTGTCCTGTTTGAGGGGTTGAGGACCAGAACACTGGCATTTCTGTTCCAACTCAAATACAAGTTTCTCTAGCGCCTATAAATAAGATGATAGGGATTAAATCGCTGCAAGCAGACATTAAGAGGCCAAGCACAAAGGAACGAGAAGTCATGCAAGCATGGCTGGAACAGACCAACTGCAACAAGCAATTAAAGACTTTATAATTTCCCAGGAATTCAGCCTAAAATCTTAATTGGTCATTAGTTATGATTTAATGGTTTATCACTTTCGACCAATATGTGGCGCTGTGACCAAACTTTTATTCGCTTTAGGGCATGGTGCCGAACACATACAAAGTTTCATAACGACACCATGTGTTAGTAAAAGATTGCTTTTAAGACAATTTAAAATGGTAGATGCCCAAAATGGCCGATATGATGTTCGAGTCGGCATGCTGCACCGAATCTAAAGAGACCAGTTCTGTGATTTTTGGCTGAACCGTTCAGAAGTTAAGCAAATAGAGCATATCTCCTGACCACTAGGTGGCACTGTCCCAAAACTGTGCAGGTAACCTCATGCATGTCATGGTTGTGATAACACGCACCAAGTTTGGTCAGAATATGCTAAAGGGTTGCAGAGATTTAGCCTCACTTCCATGTTGGCGCGCTCCAATTTGAATTCGTTCGCCATTCGTAAACAGTTTGACAAATCAACTTGAATTCCATAACTTTGTTGGCATGATCTGGCTCAATTTTCGTGAAAATCGGAGCAATGGTCTAGCAGTTTGAGAAAGTACTGTTTTTGGAAAATTCAAGTGGCGAAAACTGACGTCATCGTGTGCAATCGCATCATCGTGAAAAAAGGAATCAGAAGATTGTTTATGGGCCTTAAATTTCAAAAGTTAACAAACATAAGTGACAATTTGGACAGTTGGTGGCACTAGAGGGAATGACTTAAAGACTCCAAAATCGCTGTGGTGACAGTTCAGACTGTCCTCTATCTATATGCCAAATTTCATAATTTTCCCACAAGCCTTTCTATGGGCTTCCAGAGCGGAGGAATAAGAACACTAACGATTACAATAAGTGGTGCTTGGACCATAATAATAATAAACAAGATTGTCAATAAAATAAATGCAACTAGATTGTTACACTGTTGGAAGTGCACAAGAATTTCATAGAAATCCCTCCAATACAAATCGGTGTAATTTGACCTGCTTAAACCTTCCCATCATACACTGGGATTAATTAGATTTAAAGGTGTGTGTGCCTTGGCTCGCTCGTGCTCTTCGTTGTATTCGTCTATAGGGATGTAATCCTCCTCCAGTCTCTCGAGAGCGCACTGGTACGCGTGCTCTTTCAACGCCTCTTTATACATATCAAACGTGCTGTCCATCTTCTCCTCATAGCTCTCCTTCAGGTCCTCCAGCTGACGACTGAAACACAGACGGTTAAAGTCAAGTCAGCTTCATGTATACAGCGCTTTAACATGTTTCAAAGCAGCTTTACAGTGATAACAGGAGATTACAGTAACAGATTGTTTGGCTTTACAGCAGCTCTAGAATAAAGTTACTGTTCAGCTAAAGTTAGTTTTGATTGATTCACTTCCGTTGCGAAGATCATTAGTTATTAACTTAGGGGCCGCTAACACGACACCGTTCACACAGAAAACTTTGAATGTGTTCTGGCCGCTCATTCACACAACAACAGTGTTTGGTGCTTGAGAACGCAAGCCTTGAAACCGGTTCCAAGGTGCAAGCGGTGAAAAATAAGAAAAATAAAAATTCTGCACAAACTTAAACACGAATGTGAAACCACTGATGGCGCGCACATGCACATCACGTATTTAGTCTATAGGTATGGGAAGGCTCCTTTAGACCCGAGGGAACCCTGGGAAGGCTCCTTCAGACCCGAGGGAACCCTGGGAAGGCGCCTTCAGACCCGAGGGAGCCCTGGGAAGGCGCCTTCAGACCCGAGGGAACCATGGGAAGGCTCCTTCAGACCCGAGGGGGCCCTGGGAAGGCTCCTTCAGACCCGTGGGGGCCCTGGGAAGGCTCCTTCAGACCCGTGGGGGCCCTGGGAAGGCTCCTTCAGACCCGTGGGGGCCCTGGGAAGGCTCCTTCAGACCCGTGGGGGCCCTGGGAAGGCTCCTTCAGACCCGAGGGAACCCTGGGAAGGCACCTTCAGACCCGAGGGAACCATGGGAAGGCTCCTTCAGACCCGAGGGGGCCCTGGGAAGGCTCCTTCAGACCCGTGGGGGCCCTGGGAAGGCTCCTTCAGACCCGTGGGGGCCCTGGGAAGGCTCCTTCAGACCCGAGGGAACCCTGGGAAGGCTCCTTCAGACCAGAGGGAACCCTGGGAAGGCTCCTTCAGACCCGTGGGAGCCCTGGGAAGGCTCTTTCAGACCCGAGGGAGCCCTGGGAAGGCTCCTTCAGACCCGTGGGATCCCTGGGAAGGCTCCTTCAGACCAGAGGGAACCCTGGGAAGGCTCCTTCAGACCCGTGGGAGCCCTGGGAAGGCTCCTTCAGACCCGTGGGAGCCCTGGGAAGGCTCCTTCAGACCCGTGGGAGCCCTGGGAAGGCTCCTTCAGACCCGTGGGAGCCCTGGGAAGGCTCCTTCAGACCCGTGGGAGCCCTGGGAAGGCTCCTTCAGACCCGTGGGAGCCCTGGGAAGGCTCCTTCAGACCCGTAAGAGACCTGGGAAGGCTCATTCAGACCAGAGGGAGCCCTGGGAAGGCTCCTTCAGACCCGTGGGAGCCCTGGGAAGGCTCCTTCAGACCCGTGGGAGCCCTGGGAAGGCTCCTTCAGACCCGTAAGAGACCTGGGAAGGCTCATTCAGACCAGAGGGAGCCCTGGGAAGGCTCCTTCAGACCCGTGGGAGCCCTGGGAAGGCTCCTTCATGAGGTGAAGCATGTCCATGTTCCGGTGCCCAGCTTCGGCTCCTCACCTGTGAAGCTCCTCTGCCTCCGTGATCTGCTGCAGCATCGCGTCTCCCATCTCCTTACGGATCTGAATCTCCTGGACAAGATTCTTCCTGCGCTCGGCCATCAGCTTCGAGCGCAAGCTCTCCACCAAGTTCAACAACTCCTGCAAGAGAATGACAGACATGTGGCAAAGGCCTCCATCTCTGCACCGCAAAACATGCTTTTCTTACTCAGTAAACAAGGCAAAAAATACTGTCCAGATACCTAAACATTATTAAAATAAAGATGTCTTTACTAAAGTAGTAAAATGCCATAATTTTGATTTATATACCCAGAAAACGAGACATATCTTAAGTGAGGTTGCTTAAAACAAGCAAAATTATCTGCCAATGGGGTAAGAAAAAAAAACTTAATTCAAAGAGAAACCAGATAATTTCTTTCCCCATTGGCAGATCACTTTGCTTTTTAATAAGTTAAAAGAAAAAGCTTAATTTTGACAAACAAGACATAATATCGCATGGCATTTTACTTGTATAGTAAACTGCATCTTGATTTGTCTTTTGTCTTATGTCAAAATTAATTTTGCTTTTTAAGCAAAAAAAGCTTAATTTTGACATATCAAGATGCAGTTTACTATATAAGTAAAATGCCATGCGATATTATGTCTTGTTTGTCAAAATTAAGCTTTTTCTTTTAACTTATTAAAAAGCAAAGTGATCTGCCAATGGGGAAAGAAATTATCTGGTTTCTCTTTGAATTAAGAGGAATTTATGGCATTTCACTACTTTAAATATTCTTAAAATAAAGATGTCTTTACTAGATATTTGGACTGAAAACAGGACAAAAACACAGAGTAAGAGAGGTGTTTTGCAGTGTGAGCATCGAGGATCATGTTGACGTGCTCGAGCACCTCTTGGGGTAATATTGACACGTCCGCCTCGTCTCCGTCCAGCAACTCTTCCTCTGACAGATATTCATCCACAGCCTGGTCATCAATCACTCCATTCCTCAGCAATGGCTTCCCATCCAGACCCACCAGACGCGGCGCCAGAGACTCCACAGATCTTTGAGGCATGACCTGTAACACCTGACACACACAGACCCGAATGACACGGGCAATGGGAGAAACGAGCCTTTGAATCATTTTGCCAAAGCAATTCATTTAATTAAAAGTTTCAGTGTTTGGAAGAGTCACTCGCTGGCGACCCCTGCTGGTCAGATCAGTGTAAATGCAGCGAAAACTCAGTCAAAACATGCAGAAAAACAGCTTTTACAAACCAGCAATGTTTCATTGAAGCCGTCATCTATTAAATGCAATTAACAAATCATCTGATAATACTAAATATGAAGTGTCTCTATAATATGTGTTATTTTATTAAATTGTAGAGCTTGTATTGTTTATGAAGAGCTTGGTTAATCAGACCAGTAAGAGACTTGACTACAACTCTTTATGCAATTAAACATCTGCAAAATGTATAAAACTGATCCGAGATCAGGTAAAATCATAAAGTTCATGGGTTCACAGAGATCATCGCCCCCTAGCGGCGAATCATTGACATTTGGAAACCGTGATATTGCAAACTATTTTCAATGGAAAGTAGCTAAATCCTGCTTAAAGAGTCACTAAATGTCGCTAGATGGCGTAAAGCGCTAACCTACGGGACCTGTCGGCAGTTTACATCCTAGTCCGAGCTCACACACTGTAAATTAACATATTATATAGCCAAATGTCCAATAAAGCGGTTTTGATTTAGTGACTGACTGTTAACCAGCAATCAAAAATATCGCTAGTCGCTTTTTTTAAGACGCAAAATGGGTCTGAGAAGTCGCTAATCTAGGTGACAAAAGTCTGTACATTGACAACACATGTGATTTCAGTAAACGATGCTTCGTAACGTCATAACCAGACTTTGATACACACTCTGAATCCCTGATTCCAAATAAATGAAATCGACCATCACTAGTTGACGTGGTCAATTTGCTTAGACTATGGCTATCTGTAAACTTATGAATCTGTCCTAGAACCTGACATTATAATCAGCCCTACAACAACCCGGGTTCCCATAAAGCTCACAAACGTTAGATCAGGGCTTGAAGTGAACTTTGCGATCCCAAACCTGCTTGGCCACGGCGGAGAACTTCATGACGTGGAGGGTCTCGTCGTAGGTGGAGGCGCACTGGTTGATGTTGACGATCATGCAAGCCCGTCCTCGGCCGCAGAACATGCCCTGGAAGAGCCGGGTCAGCTTGCTCTCGCGGAACGGCACGTAGCTCGTCCTCGCCCTGGCGGATCAGAGACGCGTGTGAGCAGAGACGGGGCGCCTGTGGTTCGCGAGGGCGATCGCCAGTACCTGTAGCTCTGGTTGCTCCGCAGCGCGGCGATGCACTTGCCCAGGATCAGCAGGGAATTGTTGATGTTTCCAGCTTCTTTCAGACGCTCCCCAAACGTTTTGGTTTTGTTGCATCTTTCGGAGCCGGCCAAGTCACAAAGTGAAAGACTTTGTGAGAAAAGAAAGACGTTACACTTTCCAAACGGATTTGCTTCACTGAATTTTTAAAAGTACAATACACTTGGATTTTCAAGTTATTTCTACTTAAATTACATTAGTTGAATCTTGTATAACATTAATGTTGAAATTGCTTAATCAGTTTAAAGTCCCCCTGTGGTGAAAATCCAGCGTTTAATGTTGTTTATGTGTCCATGTGGTGTTTTTAATACGCTTTAAGACACACATGTGTAAGTTCATAAGTCGACAGCATTGCTGAGTATTTCCTCCTTAAAACTGCAGTGAACCAAAGACAGCCTCAAAAACACGGTTTGAAATCGCTGGTGTTTCTGACGTCACAAACGACCTTGTAACCAATCAGATCAACGTGTGATCATCAACCAGTGGATCTCTGAGCTGAGGGAGTGAGTGGAGGCGGGGCTCATTTGCATATTCATAGACCCTCGTATATTTAATGAGGCAATGGTGTCGAGTTACATTCAAGATATTTCAAGGAAAAACACTTTAAAATGTCATTTTGGTGATCAGAGTTAAAGGATAAAATGATTGACTACAGCGGGACTTTAAATTTAAGTACAATCAACTTGGATGTTTAAGTTATTTCAACTTAAATTACATTAAACAGACTTTGTATAACTTAAAGTTAGTTAAGCAATTTTCAACATTTCTTATGAGATATAGCAATGTAAAAATGTTTTTGTAGCTTCTTGATCATGTGTTTCACAGTTCACTCACTCCGACAGTCCCTGAACATCGGCTCCGTCGAGGCGGATCAGCTTGATGGTGAAGATACTGTGGCTGTAAGACAGAACAACGGATTTGCTTTGGCATGGAAATGTGTATTCAGTACTAATGACATCACACTCATTGATCATGACATCACACTCATGATGACCTTCTGCTGGACGACTGGTTCATCTTGGTCGCGGCTGCGCTCCGGTTCTTATTGCCCACGCGCAGCACTTTACTGGCCTCCTCTGCGTTCTGCACATTAACCCATCGCAGATCTACAACAAGACACACACACACACTTTACTGGACGCACGCTAAAGATAGCCACACTTGTGCTCCTCGCGGTCAGGAATGACGCACTGGAAATGAGAGAGACGAGTTTCCTCTAGTGGAAGCGTGTGGAACTGCAGCCGAACAACATATCTTTTACTGAGATATCAGCCTCATTTTTTGGCTTTGATTTTCTTATACATTTTTTAAAAACATGTTTTACTCTAAAACTGTATTTCATATAAAAACGTAAAACAGTATTTTTGCACATTTTTCATAACAATAAAAGTAATTCTGTAATTTACGTTCACTATTTAAACCTTCTCACTTCAGCAATAATCTGCCAAGCGTCGTGTTTGAAGAGATCAGACTTCAGTCTGTGATCTAAAGCATTCTAGATTTACCACAGTTAAAGCTGGACATGTTCAGGTCTACGCTCAAAGTGAATAAATGGATTATAAACACAGCGAAAATATAATTTAGTACCATAAAATCCCCTAAATAATACAAAATATTAAATAAATCAAAACATGATCGAACTCAAATATGGTACAGAAATTGAAATAAAAAAAAATAAAAAAAACAAAGATCGGTCAAGTGTGACGACACGTGAGTTCAGGCACACACTCGTGTGGACCGCACCTCTGATGTAGGAGCTCCCGGCGCTGTCCTCACACACTCTCAGCGCCGGCCGCCTCCGGGTTCTGCTGGCGTGGGTCGGCTGGAGCAGGTCGTACACGTGCTCGTTGTAGATCTCGTAGAACGCCACCCAGACGCAGTAAAGCCAGTGTCCATCATCAGCCGTGACATCAGCACTGTCCACTGCAGGACACGCCAGAGATTACACACACACTCCACTGCAGGACACGCCAGAGATTACACACACTCCACTGCAGGACACGCCAGAGATTACACACACACACTCCACTGGAGGACACGCCAGAGATTACACACACACTCCACTGCAGGACACGCCAGAGATTACACACACTCCACTGCAGGACACGCCAGAGATTACACACACACACTCCACTGGAGGACACGCCAGAGATTACACACACTCCACTGGAGGACACGCCAGAGATTACACACACACACTCCACTGGAGGACACGCCAGAGATTACACACACTCCACTGCAGGACACGCCAGAGATTACACACACACTCCACTGCAGGACACGCCAGAGATTACACACACTCCACTGCAGGACACGCCAGAGATTACACACACTCCACTGCAGGACACGCCAGAGATTACACACACACTCCACTGCAGGACACGCCAGAGATTACACACACACACTCCACTGCAGGACACGCCAGAGATTACACACACACTCCACTGCAGGACACGCCAGAGATCACACACACACTCCACTGGAGGACACGCCAGAGATTACACACACACTCCACTGGAGGACACGCCAGAGATTACACACACACTCCACTGGAGGACACGCCAGAGATCACACACACTCCACTGGAGGACACGCCAGAGATCACACACACTCCACTGGAGGACACGCCAGAGATTACACACACACTCCACTGGAGGACACGCCAGAGATTACACACACACTCCACTGGAGGACACGCCAGAGATTACACACACACTCCACTGGAGGACACGCCAGAGATTACACACACACTCCACTGCAGGACACGCCAGAGATCACACACACTCCACTGCAGGACACGCCAGAGATTACACACACACTCCACTGCAGGACACGCCAGAGATTACACACACACTCCACTGGAGGACACGCCAGAGATTACACACACACTCCACTGCAGGACACGCCAGAGATTACACACACACTCCACTGGAGGACACGCCAGAGATTACACACACACACTCCACTGCAGGACACGCCAGAGATTACACACACACTCCACTGCAGGACACGCCAGAGATTACACACACTCCACTGCAGGACACGCCAGAGATTACACACACACTCCACTGCAGGACACGCCAGAGATTACACACACTCCACTGCAGGACACGCCAGAGATTACACACACACTCCACTGGAGGACACGCCAGAGATCACACACACACACTCCACTGCAGGACACGCCAGAGATTACACACACACTCCACTGCAGGACACGCCAGAGATCACACACACTCCACTGGAGGACACGCCAGAGATTACACACACACTCCACTGGAGGACACGCCAGAGATTACAAAAACACTCCACTGGAGGACAAGCCAGAGATCACACACACTCCACTGGAGGACACGCCAGAGATCACACACACTCCACTGGAGGACAAGCCAGAGATCACACACACTCCACTGGAGGACACGCCAGAGATCACACACACTCCACTGGAGGACACGCCAGAGATTACACACACACTCCACTGGAGGACACGCCAGAGATTACACACACACTCCACTGGAGGACACGCCAGAGATCACACACACTCCACTGGAGGACACGCCAGAGATTACACACACACTCCACTGGAGGACACGCCAGAGATTACACACACACACTCCACTGGAGGACACGCCAGAGATTACACACACACACTCCACTGGAGGACACGCCAGAGATTACACACACACTCCACTGGAGGACACGCCAGAGATCACACACACTCCACTGGAGGACACGCCAGAGATTACACACACACTCCACTGGAGGACAAGCCAGAGATTACACACACACTCCACTGGAGGACACGCCAGAGATTACACACACACACTCCACTGGAGGACACGCCAGAGATCACACACACACACTCCACTGCAGGACACGCCAGAGATTACACACACACTCCACTGCAGGACACGCCAGAGATCACACACACTCCACTGCAGGACACGCCAGAGATTACACACACACTCCACTGGAGGACACGCCAGAGATTACACACACACTCCACTGCAGGACACGCCAGAGATTACACACACACTCCACTGCAGGACACGCCAGAGATTACACACACACTCCACTGGAGGACACGCCAGAGATTACACACACACTCCACTGCAGGACACGCCAGAGATTACACACACTCCACTGGAGGACACGCCAGAGATTACACACACACTCCACTGCAGGACACGCCAGAGATCACACACACTCCACTGCAGGACACGCCAGAGATTACACACACACTCCACTGCAGGACACGCCAGAGATTACACACACACACACTCCACTGCAGGACACGCCAGAGATCACACACACACACTCCACTGCAGGACACGCCAGAGATTACACACACACTCCACTGGAGGACACGCCAGAGATTACACACACACTCCACTGCAGGACACGCCAGAGATTACACACACACTCCACTGGAGGACACGCCAGAGATTACACACACACTCCACTGGAGAACACGCCAGAGATTACACACACTCCACTGCAGGACACGCCAGAGATTACACACACACTCCACTGCAGGACACGCCAGAGATTACACACACACTCCACTGGAGGACACGCCAGAGATCACACACACTCCACTGGAGGACACGCCAGAGATTACACACACACTCCACTGGAGGACACGCCAGAGATTACACACACTCCACTGGAGGACACGCCAGAGATTACACACACTCCACTGCAGGACACGCCAGAGATTACACACACTCCACTGGAGGACACGCCAGAGATTACACACACTCCACTGCAGGACACGCCAGAGATTACACACACTCCACTGGAGGACACGCCAGAGATTACACACACACACTCCACTGGAGGACACGCCAGAGATTACACACACTCCACTGGAGGACACGCCAGAGATTACACACACTCCACTGGAGGACACGCCAGAGATTACACACTCCACTGGAGGACACGCCAGAGATTACACACACTCCACTGGAGGACACGCCAGAGATTACACACACTCCACTGCAGGACACGCCAGAGATTACACACACTCCACTGGAGGACACGCCAGAGATTACACACACACTCCACTGCAGGACACGCCAGAGATTACACACACACTCCACTGGAGGACACGCCAGAGATTACACACACTCCACTGGAGGACACGCCAGAGATCACACACACACTCCACTGGAGGACACGCCAGAGATTACACACACACTCCACTGCAGGACACGCCAGAGATTACACACACACTCCACTGCAGGACACGCCAGAGATTACACACACACTCCACTGCAGGACACGCCAGAGATTACACACACACTCCACTGCAGGACACGCCAGAGATTACACACACACTCCACTGGAGGACACGCCAGAGATTACACACACTCCACTGGAGGACACGCCAGAGATTACACACACACTCCACTGGAGGACACGCCAGAGATTACACACACTCCACTGGAGGACACGCCAGAGATTACACACACTCCACTGCAGGACACGCCAGAGATTACACACACACTCCACTGCAGGACACGCCAGAGATTACACACACTCCACTGGAGGACACGCCAGAGATTACACACACTCCACTGCAGGACACGCCAGAGATTACACACACACTCCACTGGAGGACACGCCAGAGATTACACACACTCCACTGGAGGACACGCCAGAGATTACACACACTCCACTGGAGGACACGCCAGAGATTACACACACTCCACTGGAGGACACGCCAGAGATTACACACACTCCACTGGAGGACACGCCAGAGATCACACACACACACTCCACTGCAGGACACGCCAGAGATCACACACACACTCCACTGGAGGACACGCCAGAGATTACACACACTCCACTGGAGGACACGCCAGAGATTACACACACACTCCACTGCAGGACACGCCAGAGATTACACACACTCCACTGGAGGACACGCCAGAGATTACACACACACTCCACTGGAGGACACGCCAGAGATTACACACACACTCCACTGGAGGACACGCCAGAGATAACACACACTCCACTGGAGGACACGCCAGAGATTACACACACACTCCACTGCAGGACACGCCAGAGATTACACACACACACTCCACTGGAGGACACGCCAGAGATTACACACACACTCCACTGCAGGACACGCCAGAGATTACACACACACTCCACTGGAGGACACGCCAGAGATCACACACTCCACTGGAGGACACGCCAGAGATCACACACTCCACTGGAGGACACGCCAGAGATCACACACTCTCCACTGGAGGACACGCCAGAGATTACACACACACACTCCACTGGAGGACACGCCAGAGATTACACACACTCCACTGGAGGACACGCCAGAGATTACACACACTCCACTGGAGGACACGCCAGAGATCACACACTCCACTGCAGGACACGCCAGAGATTACACACACACACTCCACTGGAGGACACGCCAGAGATTACACACACTCCACTGGAGGACACGCCAGAGATCACACACACTCCACTGCAGGACACGCCAGAGATTACACACACACTCCACTGGAGGACACGCCAGAGATCACACACACACTCCACTGGAGGACACGCCAGAGATTACACACACACTCCACTGGAGGACACGCCAGAGATTACACACACACTCCACTGGAGGACACGCCAGAGATTACACACACTCCACTGGAGGACACGCCAGAGATCACACACTCCACTGGAGGACACGCCAGAGATCACACACTCCACTGGAGGACACGCCAGAGATCACACACTCCACTGGAGGACACGCCAGAGATTACACACACACACTCCACTGGAGGACACGCCAGAGATTACACACACTCCACTGGAGGACACGCCAGAGATTACACACACTCCACTGGAGGACACGCCAGAGATCACACACTCCACTGCAGGACACGCCAGAGATTACACACACACACTCCACTGGAGGACACGCCAGAGATTACACACACTCCACTGGAGGACACGCCAGAGATCACACACACTCCACTGCAGGACACGCCAGAGATTACACACACTCCACTGGAGGACACGCCAGAGATCACACACTCTCCACTGGAGGACACGCCAGAGATTACACACACTCCACTGGAGGACACGCCAGAGATTACACACACTCCACTGGAGGACACGCCAGAGATTACACACACTCCACTGCAGGACACGCCAGAGATCACACACACTCCACTGGAGGACACGCCAGAGATTACACACACTCCACTGGAGGACACGCCAGAGATTACACACACTCCACTGGAGGACACGCCAGAGATTACACACACACACTCCACTGGAGGACACGCCAGAGATCACACACTCCACTGGAGGACACGCCAGAGATCACACACTCTCCACTGGAGGACACGCCAGAGATTACACACACACACTCCACTGGAGGACACGCCAGAGATTACACACACTCCACTGGAGGACACGCCAGAGATTACACACACACACTCCACTGGAGGACACGCCAGAGATTACACACACACTCCACTGGAGGACACGCCAGAGATCACACACACTCCACTGCAGGACACGCCAGAGATTACACACACTCCACTGGAGGACACGCCAGAGATCACACACACTCCACTGCAGGACACGCCAGAGATCACACACACTCCACTGGAGGACACGCCAGAGATCACACACACTCCACTGGAGGACACGCCAGAGATTACACACACTCCACTGGAGGACACGCCAGAGATTACACACACTCCACTGGAGGACACGCCAGAGATTACACACACACACTCCACTGGAGGACACGCCAGAGATCACACACTCCACTGGAGGACACGCCAGAGATCACACACTCTCCACTGGAGGACACGCCAGAGATTACACACACACACTCCACTGGAGGACACGCCAGAGATTACACACACTCCACTGGAGGACACGCCAGAGATCACACACACTCCACTGCAGGACACGCCAGAGATCACACACACTCCACTGGAGGACACGCCAGAGATCACACACTCCACTGGAGGACACGCCAGAGATCACACACTCTCCACTGGAGGACACGCCAGAGATTACACACACTCCACTGGAGGACACGCCAGAGATTACACACACTCCACTGGAGGACACGCCAGAGATCACACACACTCCACTGGAGGACACGCCAGAGATTACACACACTCCACTGGAGGACACGCCAGAGATTACACACACTCCACTGGAGGACACGCCAGAGATCACACACACACACTCCACTGGAGGACACGCCAGAGATTACACACACTCCACTGGAGGACACGCCAGAGATTACACACACTCCACTGGAGGACACGCCAGAGATCACACACACACACTCCACTGGAGGACACGCCAGAGATCACACACACACACTCCACTGGAGGACACGCCAGAGATCACACACACACACTCCACTGGAGGACACGCCAGAGATTACACACACTCCACTGGAGGACACGCCAGAGATCACACACACTCCACTGGAGGACACGCCAGAGATCACACACACACACTCCACTGGAGGACACGCCAGAGATCACACACACACACTCCACTGGAGGACACGCCAGAGATTACACACACACTCCACTGGAGGACACGCCAGAGATCACACACACTCCACTGGAGGACACGCCAGAGATCACACACACACACTCGACTGGAGGACACGCCAGAGATTTCACACACACTCCACTGGAGGACACGCCAGAGATCACACACACACACTCCACTGGAGGACACGCCAGAGATCACACACACTCCACTGGAGGACACGCCAGAGATTACACACACACTCCACTGGAGGACACGCCAGAGATCACACACACACTCCACTGGAGGACACGCCAGAGATCACACACACTCCACTGGAGGACACGCCAGAGATTACACACACACTCCACTGGAGGACACGCCAGAGATTACACACACACTCCACTGGAGGACACGCCAGAGATTACACACACACTCCACTGGAGGACACGCCAGAGATTACACACACACTCCACTGGAGGACACGCCAGAGATTACACACACACTCCACTGGAGGACACGCCAGAGATTACACACACACTCCACTGGAGGACACGCCAGAGATTACACACACACTCCACTGGAGGACACGCCAGAGATCACACACACTCCACTGGAGGACACGCCAGAGATTACACACACTCCACTGGAGGACACGCCAGAGATTACACACACTCCACTGGAGGACACGCCAGAGATCACACACACTCCACTGCAGGACACGCCAGAGATCACACACACACTCCACTGCAGGACACGCCAGAGATTACACACACACTCCACTGCAGGACACGCCAGAGATTACACACACACTCCACTGGAGGACACGCCAGAGATTACACACACACTCCACTGGAGGACACGCCAGAGATCACACACACACTCCACTGGAGGACACGCCAGAGATCACACACACTCCACTGGAGGACACGCCAGAGATCACACACACACTCCACTGGAGGACACGCCAGAGATTACACACACACTCCACTGCAGGACACGCCAGAGATTACACACACACTCCACTGGAGGACACGCCAGAGATTACACACACACTCCACTGGAGGACACGCCAGAGATCACACACACACACTCCACTGGAGGACACGCCAGAGATTACACACACACTCCACTGGAGGACACGCCAGAGATTACACACACACTCCACTGGAGGACACGCCAGAGATTACACACACACACTCCACTGGAGGACACGCCAGAGATTACACACTCCACTGGAGGACACGCCAGAGATTACACACACACTCCACTGCAGGACACGCCAGAGATTACACACACTCCACTGGAGGACACGCCAGAGATTACACACACACTCCACTGGAGGACACGCCAGAGATTACACACACACACTCCACTGGAGGACACGCCAGAGATTACACACACTCCACTGGAGGACACGCCAGAGATTACACACACACTCCACTGGAGGACACGCCAGAGATCACACACACTCCACTGGAGGACACGCCAGAGATCACACACACTCCACTGGAGGACACGCCAGAGATTACACACACACTCCACTGGAGGACACGCCAGAGATTACACACACACTCCACTGGAGGACACGCCAGAGATTACACACACACACTCCACTGGAGGACACGCCAGAGATTACACACACAATCCACTGCAGGACACGCCAGAGATCACACACACACTCCACTGGAGGACACGCCAGAGATTACACACACAATCCACTGCAGGACACGCCAGAGATCACACACACACTCCACTGGAGGACACGCCAGAGATCACACACACACACACACAGTAGCCGGGTATACCTGTATGGTCATACGAAACACTGGAAAACGACAAACTGTTGACGGAGGAGTTCGAGCTTCTACTTCGACTGGATTTAGTGGGTTCAGTATCCTGAGACGAGAGAAGACACAGTGATTAATAACACACAGTGATTAATAACACACAGTGATTAATAAAACACACAGTGATTAATAACACAAGAACAATAGCGAGAAACGTTACGCAGCATTACAACCGGGCCGGTGTCTTCTAGTTAGCATTAAAGAAGCATATAAAGAGATTAAAATAGTACATTTTTCCCAAAAAACTGATGAAAAAAACGAACTTATCAAATTAAACCTAAAAATAACTTGCAGGGAATATTCTAACCATATGTTTTGCTGAAATTGGTAATTTTCCATAAACTAGGCCTATATTTCACCAGTTCGTTACAACCTGGATTGATCAGTCAAAACACATTATAACTTCAGATAAATCCAATTGTATAGATATAAATGTTGAGCCGAGGTAAAGCGCATGACAGATCATAAAGATACGAGGGTTTGTAACTTTACTGCGCATTTACTAACACTCGTTCATATATTATAATTCAATAAACGAGAGTAAATGGTGTGATTTCAGAGATGAAGAGAACATGAAGTTAACGGTTCCTCGGGCCACAAGCACGTCCCGCTGATGTACATGTAGTTATCCTACAGTCAGTCACATTATTGTTATTCCTTTTGTAATGTATTGAATCAGTCATTTGGTGGTTAATGTAAACTCGGTTAGTGGGGTACAGTGAGAAAAGTTAGGAAATCTTACATAATGTATAAAACCAAACTCATGTAATCCTCCATAATGATGGTTTATGTGCTCCGATTATTTAAATATTGATTCAAAACAAGTTCAAATCAAGACATTGTTTGTTTGGATTATTCTTCCATGCTTAGTCCATATGATGTGGGAGAATATGTAGAATAAATATGAAAAGGTTAATAGGATGTCAGGGGAACGCTACGGTAAAAAAAAAAAAAAAAATCCATTTCCGTGACGAAAAGCGTTCCTGGCTAACCCGGACAAGCGTTAGGAAGAGCTAGCCGTGTTCCGGGAAGCGGTTCTCGTACCTCTTTGAGTAAACTGAAGAGCGCGGCCTTGGCGTTCTTCTCCACTTTGACTTGTTCCGAGTCGAGTTTCTGCACATCCGAGCTCAGGAAGGGCTTCAGGTCGGCGTGCTCGTACTGGCGGCCCGCCACGTGCCGGAACACCGCGTCCAGCGCGCGCGGCAGGATCCCCGGGTCCTTCTGGGAGCCTGAACACGACCACTCGCGTGAGGTGACGGCGGAGGACATGCGGTGCGTTCAAGTCATCTCGGGAAGATCGCGTGTGTGAGAGTTGAACGCACATGAACGCCACAATGCAAGTGGAAAGCTCGGGATTTTCTTTAAGCCCCGATCTGTGAGAAACATGGCGGAACACCGCGATACTTGAAGGCATTTAGCCGTGATATTGCTATAATTTACAACGAAGTAAGCGGATTGCCTGCACAGGACATGATAGCATTAATATAACAATATAATGTAACTAGGGGTGTAACGATACACGTATTCGTATTGAACCGTTTCGGTTCGGTTTTCGGTACGCGTTTTTAAACCGAACGGTTCGTTGGACCATTTTTCCTGCCGACCAACATTTCGTTATTTCAAATGTAGACGCGTCACGCGTGGCAAGTGCGCTCATGATGTAAGAGACGCTGGCGTGACCACAACATCGCCCAACATCAAATGGCTAATGTAAGCGGAACGAAACTGAGCTACTCGTTATTGTGTGGTTGACGGACCGTTTATCAGTGTGGACCAATGCAGCGCGAGCCGATCTTCATCATCAGCACTGTCACTACACAGCCAAATCCAGTAAAGAAAGCATTTGAGTTCGCCACTGAAGTAATAACATCGCTGCGACATCTAGTGAGAAACATTCACATTTCTCCGTTATTAACGGATCAAACAGCGCTGACGTGAAACCAGGAAGAGACATTGTGCCATGAATGAACTATCCAGTGTCCACAGATCAGCAGCATCACCATGGGTTTACTGGAGCAACACTGCTAACTGGCTGGAGTAGCACTGCTAACTGGCTGGAGTAGCACTGCGAACTGGCTGGAGTAGCACTGCGAACTGGCTGGAGTAGCACTGCGAACTGGCTGGAGTAGCACTGCGAACTGGCTGGAGTAGCACTGCGAACTGGCTGGAGTAGCACTGCGAACTGGCTGGAGTAGCACTGCGAACTGGCTGGAGTAGCACTGCGAACTGGCTGGAGTAGCACTGCGAACTGGCTGGAGTAGCACTGCGAACTGGCTGGAGTAGCACTGCGAACTGGCTGGAGTAGCACTGCGAACTGGCTGGAGTAGCACTGCGAACTGGCTGGAGTAGCACTGCGAACTGGCTGGAGTAGCACTGCGAACTGGCTGGAGTAGCACTGCGAGCTGGCTGGAGTAGCACTGCGAGCTGGCTGGAGTAGCACTGCGAGCTGGCTGGAGTAGCACTGCGAGCTGGCTGGAGTAGCACTGCGAGCTGGCTGGAGTAGCACTGCGAGCTGGCTGGAGTAGCACTGCGAGCTGGCTGGAGTAGCACTGCGAGCTGACTGGAGTAGCACTGCCTGCTGACTGGAGTAGCACTGCCTGCTGACTGGAGTAGCACTGCCTGCTGACTGGAGTAGCACTGCCTGCTGACTGGAGTAGCACTGCCTGCTGACTGGAGTAGCACTGCCTGCTGACTGGAGTAGCACTGCCTGCTGACTGGAGTAGCACTGCCTGCTGACTGGAGTAGCACTGCCTGCTGACTGGAGTAGCACTGCCTGCTGACTGGAGTAGCACTGCTGACTGGAGTAGCACTGCTGACTGGAGTAGCACTGCTCACTGGAGTAACACTGCTCACTGGAGTAACACTGCTCACTGGAGTAACACTGCTCACTGGAGTAACACTGCTCACTGGAGTAACACTGCTCACTGGAGTAACACTGCTCACTGGAGTAACACTGCTCACTGGAGTAACACTGCTCACTGGAGTAACACTGCTCACTGGAGTAACACTGCTCACTGGAGTAACACTGCTCACTGGAGTAACACTGCTCACTGGAGTAACACTGCTCACTGGAGTAACACTGCTCACTGGAGTAACACTGCTCACTGGAGTAACACTGCTCACTGGAGTAACACTGCTCACTGGAGTAACACTGCTCACTGGAGTAACACTGCTCACTGGAGTAACACTGCTCACTGGAGTAACACTGCTCACTGGAGTAACACTGCTCACTGGAGTAACACTGCTCACTGGAGTAACACTGCTCACTGGAGTAACACTGCTCACTGGAGTAACACTGCTCACTGGAGTAACACTGCTCACTGGAGTAACACTGCTCACTGGAGTAACACTGCTCACTGGAGTAACACTGCTCACTGGAGTAACACTGCTCACTGGAGTAACACTGCTCACTGGAGTAACACTGCTCACTGGAGTAACACTGCTCACTGGAGTAACACTGCTCACTGGAGTAACACTGCTCACTGGAGTAACACTGCTCACTGGAGTAACACTGCTCACTGGAGTAACACTGCTCACTGGAGTAACACTGCTCACTGGAGTAACACTGCTCACTGGAGTAACACTGCTCACTGGAGTAACACTGCTCACTGGAGTAACACTGCTCACTGGAGTAACACTGCTCACTGGAGTAACACTGCTCACTGGAGTAACACTGCTCACTGGAGTAACACTGCTCACTGGAGTAACACTGCTCACTGGAGTAACACTGCTCACTGGAGTAACACTGCTCACTGGAGTAACACTGCTCACTGGAGTAACACTGCTCACTGGAGTAACACTGCTGACTGGAGTAACACTGCTCACTGGAGTAACACTGCTCACTGGAGTAACACTGCTCACTGGAGTAACACTGCTCACTGGAGTAACACTACTAACTGTAACCATGGGAGTGTGGCAGGAATAGTAGGCTATAATGCTTTCAAGTCGGTACTAAAAAAAAATTAACGGTTACGGTACCAGCTTTTCTAGGTACCGAGTACCGGGTTAATCCGGCTCTTGATGCGCTGTCCGAAAGGTGCAGAGTTGCGTCCTCTTCATAAAAACACTGAGACATGGCGACCCGCGGCGCTGCTAATGCGTCGGCTCTGAATCCACTTGTTGACACGAAAGGAGGAAAGAGCCACACATGGAAATATGTTGAATTAGGCTAATGTCACGTTGCCATAAAGGGCCGGTCACATGGTCACATAGCACGTTTTTTGCGCGTGCAAATTTCAAATGTAGGCGCGCGGGAAGCGCACTCATAATAGAAGCGACGTGCGAGCTTGTTTTTCCAGGCGCGTCACTGTTTATGGTTGCATAGCGGAGACACGCGAGAGCTTGTGGAGAGAAGGAGAAAGCGGTGCAAACTGCGCTCTCCGTGATGACGAGGAAGTATCATTAGAAATCAGCTACAGGGTTCTCAAGTTTTGAAGACAGGCAAGAGTGACATTTTTGGCAGTTTTGGATTAAATAAAAGTAGGCTACAGTTAAGTCAAATAAAACATGTTTTATCTCCTGTATAGTTTGGTAACACTACATTAAGATACCATTCATTAACATTACTTGATGTGTTAACATCCACACATTGAGTGAACAATATATTTTTACAACATTAATTAATGTTTGTGAATGTTATTTAATACAAACACTTGATTGGTCATGTTTGTTCACTTCATTCATTGTGCATTAAATAATGTTAACAGATAAAACTTTTGATTTTAAAAATGTATTTAGTATATTTTTAAATTAACCCCAAGGAGAATAATTGCTACAGTATAACTATGGTTTATTGTTAGGTCATTTTATCTAACAAATAGAATCTTATTGTAAAGTGTTTTTAATACTACAGTTTCCATCTTTGTAACTGTGATATACACTTTAATATATGTAAATTTTATCTAAATTAAGCTTTGGTACCGAAATTGGTACCGAGAACCGTGGATTTTCACTGGTATTGGTACCGAATACTGAAACTTTGGTACCGTGACAACACTACTTTCAAGTAACATTACGTCGGTTTTATTTTGATATTATGAATACAATTCCTGCCCTCAAATGTTAATCTGAACTAAAATACACCTTTGTTTATAACTACTACAATATTACATTTCGTCCAAGGAGCTGTTTTGTTTTATAAGCTCCTAAGAAAAGTCAAGTATAGCTCCATCACTGCTCAAAGTAAAAAATATCCTACTTTGATGTTGGTTTTAATAAAAATATAATTTATAATTATGGCATTTCTTTCTTTTTGCTGTATCGAAAACATACCGAACCGTGACACAACTGTATCGTATCGAACCGTGAATTTTGTGAACCGTTACACCCCTAAACTATGTTTTTAATTAATTTTTGAACACTCTGAACTTTAAGACAAACCTGATGCACATTCCTTGCTCACTCCTGGACGTAGATTTTAAGAACCTTGCTGTATTTGTGTAATTAAGAGAAAGTAGCGATGAAAGTGACTTGAACACGCATGTCTCGCGGTCTCAGGAGGACTTGAACACGCATGTCTCGCGGTCTCAGGAGGACTTGAACACGCATGTCTCGCGGTCTCAGGAGGACTTGAACACGCATGTCTCGCGGTCTCAGGAGGACTTGAACACGCATGTCTCGCGGTCTCAGGAGGACTTGAACACGCATGTCTCGCGGTCTCAGGAGGACTTGAACACGCATGTCTCGCGGTCTCAGGAGGACTTGAACACGCATGTCTCGCGGTCTCAGGAGGACTTGAACACGCATGTCTCGCGGTCTCAGGAGGACTTGAACGCACCATGAGTGTTTAGTGAGGTTCGGTCACCTTGTATGGTGTATGTTTTCCCGGCGTTGGTCACTCCGTAGCTGAACACCAATGCGTTCTTGCCGTGCAGGAACTCGTGCACCTGTGAGCTGATGGTGCCGTCGAAGAACTCGGTCTGGGAGCACGCCGGCCCGAAGATCTGCACACACACACACACCTTTACACCGGGGCAAAATGACCCCACTTTTTTCAGAAAGCTTATTTTGATAATTTTTTCTGTTTTTAAATGCAATTTTTTGGGAGATTGTTATGTTTTATTTTATTTACCTTTAAATTACTGGATTTAATCAATAAATAGTAATTTAAGCACATTCCTCACTCTTTCAACTTCAATTCAAAATAACTCAATTTCATGCATAAACCTTTTAATTCAGCTCTAAATATCTTACACTGGGAGTCTTTGACCTCTTGTGGAGAAATAATAATAGCACATGATATTTCCTGACTCTAGATGTGCTTATAGCTCTGTTCCGCTGGGTCCTAAAGCCAGTACGCTTCAGTGTGCATTCAGACACACATGTAGACATTACACAATCATTTTTTGGTACAGCTTTAGCATTTTTAGGTTTCTCTGTGTGAACTGAACCATTCCTCGCATTCAATTAATTCCTAAGGGGGTCAAATTGATTGGTTTTAGGATGTTACTTTTTTAAATTTCAAGCACAAAACTCATCGAATCCATTTAATTTTTGTGTGTGTGTGTATTCATTGTTCACGTGCAACACAAGTCCTAGAGGCTTGGACCCCTCTGATGAACTTTCGATTTTTTAATCAGGGTGCGGGTCAAGTTTAGTTTCCCGGACCGAAGGATGAGGTTTGCGTTAGGAGTCACCTGCGTGAAGCTGAACTTGTAGACCTGCTGGCCGATCCCCTTCTCGCTGCTCTTCATGCTGGCGGATCCTTGCGGAGCGTGAAGAGAGATGTTCTCCGCATCCTCCAACACAACACAGCCCTGAGAGGACAGATAAAGGGGCGGTTCATTGATTAAAATGTTTTAACTTTAGTGTAGTGTTGCTGTTTGAGCATAAACATCTGCAAAGTTACGACACTCAACGCTCAGGGCAAAGGGAGAGATTTGCTTTTACAGAAATCACTTTAAGGACTACAACAAACGGCTGGTAGAACTACACGAGCTTCTTCACGGTTAGTGACATCACTAACACTAAATTTACATAAACTCCGCCCCTGGAACGAGATTTATAGATCATCATGACAGAATATGCTAATCAATGACTAGAAGAGAGTTACCTCCACCATCAGGGCTGCCAACTTTTGAGTTTAGCTTGGAGTGAGAATTATGGAATTATTTGGTAACAAAACATAATTTTATTAAGTTTAGTGACAACATGTTAGGCTACAATGTTTACATCGTACAACGACCGGTAGGCTACGGTTTTTATTATTGCTTGAGAAACTTCACGATTTCAATTCAATTCTTGTGATTTGATTCAAGATGGTTACAGTAGATGCACGTTAATTTCTCTATAAAAAAAAAAACCCTCAGCTAATGCTGTAAACATCCAGAGAGCCCTGTCAGCTGGTATTATTAATAAAACGTTAAAAATATCAACCCAGATTAAGTTTTTTTTTTAATTATAACGTTAAGTAAAAATATAATACATATGTAATATAGTGCACATATTTAGCTAAATACGCCTCAACTAATTTTTCTAACAAACTAATGTTCTCTAGTCATTAATGGCTTTCCTGAGGTAAATGTACGTGATCTTGTTCTCCAGCGGATTTGTTGATCTCTTTCCGCGGTTAAAAAACACTTATTGATCAATATTATGTATGAGGCATATACATTTCAGTAAATTGTTCTGTATCTTTCAATATACCAACCTATTGTTCATTTGTGTTTATTTACAATTAACTTGTAGTAAAGAGTAAGAGAGGATCGGTTCACTGAGGCGCTACAGCGATCGGCCACGTCACATTTACAAGCGGCAAAACGGTATTTATTGTTTGATATTCGTAATAAAACTTACAGAATCTGAGAGCTGAGATTTTTTTTCCATTTCAATAGTAACCTGCTCTGTCCTGTCTGTTGTTGTCGGTGTGAGCTTTGCTTCGCGATTTTTCTCTGACTGAGAAAATAGATGTGTAGTGAGAGTGAAAAGTCTCAATTTCGCGGGTCTCGCGAGAACGCCCGAGAGTTGGCAGCCCTGGCTACATAAACTCAACCAACCGTTCAGAAACGTCCTGTTGTTCTACATGTTGTCATTTCTTGAGTCTCTCCATCTTTGTCCGACTCCGGTTTGAACATAAAAGGCTAAAAGTTTTTGATATTTTCCTTTCAGTGTGTGTGTGTGTGAGGTAATCACACACACGCGTTGGTGAAGCTCCGCCCTCTGAACTATAAGAGCAGCTCATTTGCATTTAAAGGGACACACAAAAACGGGTTTTGCTCACCCTCAAAAGGCAACAATTTTAACATGCTAGAAAAATCATCTCTGAGGTATTTTGAGCTGAAACTTCACACACACACACTCTGGGGACATCAGAGACTTATTTTACATGATCAAGGGCATTATACCACCCTTGTTTCCGAAGGCAGACATCATCATTGGATTGAGCCTAACCGTACCTGTTCTTCATTGCTTCTCAGCTCTTCTTCACTGAAAGGCCGAACTTTTAAGTAAACTCGAAGCTGCTGTTGCTCAGAGACCTCAGCGCTCTCGCTCTGCACACAAACACCACACAGCGCTATATATAAACATAAAGATGGACATTATGTGTTATGAACGGATTTGCAATCTTATAACCTGTGATGTTATGGAGGAAACTCCAGAAAATTCTGGAAGATCCGCATGATGAGGTTCACAAGCCGTCGACTCCATCGCCAACATGGTGTCTTCGTCCATATCCATAACCGTCGCCATGATTATACCGTCATATAACAGTTATGTTCTTAAAGTTCAGTTTCACAAACTTGGCATCTGTGTGTGTCAGGGGTTTAGAGAAGAAAAAACGTTTCAGACATGAAAACCAGCTTTAATAGCACAGCTGAGATCTTACCCAGAATGCATCAGCCACACCTGCTCATCAATCAGCTCTTAACGACATTCAGCACACCTGTGAGCTCATTAGCGTGTAGATTCGCTTCAAATCACAGGTGCATTCTGGGCTTTCGTGACTAAAAGTTGTAAATATATTTAGCTTTAAATGTGTATAATATACAAAGATGGTAGGGTTGCCTGAACCCGAAATATGGGCAACACTTCACAATAAGGTTTATTGGTTAATGTACTAACATGAACTAACAAGCAATACATTTGTTACAGTATTTATTAATATCAGTTAATAAAATACAGCTGTTCATGTCAGTTCACAGTGACTAATGTTAACAAATACAACCTTTGATTTAAATAATGTATTAGTAAATGTTGAAATTAATATTAACTAAGATTAATAAATGCTGTAGAAGTTTTGCTCATTCTTAGTTCACGTTAACTAATGAACATTATTGTAAAGTGTCCCTGAAATATTTATATTCTTATAAATTCACCTTTTAGGTTTTGTAAGTGCTGCACATTTATTTAATTAATTCCTCATATTTTTAAACTTTCTGCTTTTAAAGTTTACATGAATATGGCTTTCACATTCAAGCAAAAATACCTTGTCTATGACTATGATGGTATCAATTCATAATACATTTAACATGAATGCATTAACAAAGCAGTTTAATTTTACAGCATTAATCTTTCAAATAGAACAATATTTAGGAAACTTACTTCTGATCATAAACATATCACAATTAACATTAACCGTGATCAATAAGTGATGCAGAAGTATTGCTCATTGTTAGTTCATGTTAATATCGTGGTTAACTAATATTTTGACAAAGACTGTAAATATAATTTCACTGGTAAAAGCATTTAGCTTCAGTTACGGTGCTTGAAAAGGACTAATAATTTCTTTCACACATTTATCTTTGTCACCGTTTACACATTTAGAATCATAACCTGAAAATCTCTCTTTGCCCATCTCATATATCAACACTCACAGCACTTTATCTGTAGACTTCAGTTTACATCTTTAAAGGCCGTTCTCTCAAAACGAGTTTTATCTTCACTTCAGCAACACTGACATCACCAAACTTGAGTTTTATTTAAGGATTTTACACAGGGGTTTCTTCATGTATAACTTTCCCGATTTTATTCCTAAAAAAGTGAACATTTATTTTTGGCTTTATTTGTGGAGAGCTATGAACCCAAAACAGTCTAAAAACCTTTGACAAATATATAAAAAAAGAATTTTGAACCGGACTTCATTCAATGTTGAGATTTTTTTCTAGAAAAGTATGCAAATCAGTGCATATTTAATTAGATATCACCTCATTTGTATATTTAAACAATTTAAGAAAACTTGTAATACATGCTAATGTAATCAATCGACTGGTGATATCTAGGAGTTATTCAGCAGGGGCGTCTCGCCTTGAGTTTGTGTTCCAGAGGAGAAGAAAAAGCTTTAACAGTTCGAGTACAAGTTCTAAACAGGTTCAGCGTGTGTGTGTGTGTGTGTGTGTGTGTGTGTGTGTGTGAGAGAATAAACACAGCAGCGGTCAGAGTTGCGAGACGAGTTTATTAAGCGTCTGCGATGGTGACCTCGACCTCCACGCCGGGCTCGATGCTGATGCTGGTGATCTGCTTCACGATCTCGGAGGGACTGTGCAGGTCGATGAGACGCTTGTGGATCCGCATCTGGAACCGGTCCCAGGTCTTGGAGCCCTCTCCACACGGGGTCTTCCGGGTCGTGATGCGCAGGGTCTTCAGGAGAGAAGAGAAACTTTACTCACAGAACACACTGACCAACACCACAGGGTTACAGGTCACGCGCCACAATCGAGTTACGCAGACACTTCAAGCAGTGCTTCTCAAAGTTTCGGTCGCCCCTCCCCTTTAAACCTTAATACATTTTTAAATTGTATATGTAAACGGGAACGCTGTAGTATTTTTAATAAACGGGAACGCTGTAGTATTTTTTTTTAATTTTTAGTAAACGGGAACGCTGTAGTATTTTTAATAAACGGGAACGCTGTAGCATTTAATAAACGGGAACGCTGTAGCATTTAATAAAAGGGAACGCTGTAAACGGGAACGCTGTAGTATTTTTAATAAACGGGAACGCTGTAGCATTTAATAAACGGGAACGCTGTAGCATTTAATAAACGGGAACGCTGTAGCATTTAATAAACGGGAACGTTGTAAACGGGAACGCTGTAGTATTTTTAATAAACTGGAACGCTGTAGTATTTAATAAACGGGAACGCTGTAGCATTTAATAAACGGGAACGCTGTAAACGGGAACGCTGTAGTATTTTGAATATTTTTAGTAAACGGGAACGCTGTAGTATTTAATAAAAGGGAACGCTGTAAACGGGAACACTGTGGTATTTAATAAAAGGGAACGCTGTAAATGGGAACGCTGTAGTATTTTTAGTAAACGAGAACGTTGTAAACGGGAACGCTGTAGTATTTTTAGTAAACGAGAACGCTGTAAATGGGAACGCTGTAAATGGGAACGCTGTAGTATTTTTAATATTTTTAATAAACGGGAACGCTGTAGCATTTAATAAACGGGAACGCTGTAGTATTTTTAATAAACTGGAACGCTGTAGTACTTTGAATATTTTTAGTAAACGGGAACGCTGTAGTATTTAATAAAAGGGAACGCTGTAAACGGGAACGCTGTAGTATTTAATAAAAGGGAACGCTGTAAATGGGAACGCTGTAGTATTTTTAGTAAACGAGAACGTTGTAAACGGGAACGCTGTAGTATTTAATAAAAGGGAACGCTGTAAATGGGAACGCTGTAGTATTTTTAGTAAACGAGAACGTTGTTAACGGGAACGCTGTAGTATTTTTAGTAAACGAGAACGTTGTAAACGGGAACGCTGTAGTATTTAATAAAAGGGAACGCTGTAAACGGGAACGCTGTAGTATTTAATAAAAGGGAACGCTGTAAATGGGAACGCTGTAGTATTTTTAGTAAACGAGAACGTTGTAAACGGGAACGCTGTAGTATTTTTAGTAAACGAGAACGTTGTAAACGGGAACGCTGTAGTATTTTTAGTAAACGAGAATGCTGTAAACGGGAACGCTGTAGTATTTTTAATATTTTTAGTAAACGGGAACGCTGTAGTATTTTTAGTAAACGGGAACGCTGTAGTATTTTTAATAAACGGGAACGCTGTAGTATTTAATAAACGGGAACGCTGTAGTATTTAATAAAAGGGAACGCTGTAAACGGGAACGCTGTAGTATTTTTAATAAACGGGAACGCTGTAGTATTTCATAAACGGGAACACTGTAGCATTTAATAAACGGGAACGCTGTAAACGGGAACGCTGTAGTATTTTTAATAAACAGGAACGCTGTCGTATTTAATAAACGGGAACGCTGTAGTATTTAATAAAAGGGAACGCTGTAAACGGGAACACTAGTATTTTTAATAAACAGGAACGCTGTCGTATTTAATAAACGGGACCGCTGTAGTATTTAATAAAAGGGAACGCTGTAAACAGGAACACTGTAGTATTGTTAATAAACGGGAACGCTGTAGCATTTAGTAAACGGGAGCGCTGTAAACGGGAACGCTGTAGTATTTTTAATAAACGGGAACGCTGTAGTATTTTTTATATTTTTAGTAAACGGGAACACTGTAGTATTTTTAGTAAACGGGAACGCTGTAAACGGGAACGCTGTAGTATTTTTAATAAACGGGAACGCTGTAGTATTTAATAAAAGGGAACGATGTAAAAGGGAACGCTGTAGTATTTAATAAACGGGAACGCTGTAGTATTTAATAAAAGGGAACGATGTAAAAGGGAACGCTGTAGTATTTAATAAACGGGAACGCTGTAGCATTTAATAAACGGGAACGCTGTAAACGTGAACGCTGTAGTATTTTTAATAAACGGGAACGCTGTAGTATTTTGAATATTCTTAGGAATGGGAACGCTGTAGCATTTAATAAACGGGAACGCTGTAGTATTTTTAATAAACGGGAACATTAGTATTTTGAATACTTTTAGTAAACGGGAACGCTGTAAAAGGGAACGCTGTAGTATTTAATAAAAGGGAACGCTGTAAATGGGAACGCTGTAGTATTTTTAGTAAACGAGAACGTTGTAAACGGGAACGCTGTAGTATTTAATAAAAGGGAACGCTGTAAACGGGAACGCTGTAGTATTTTTAGTAAACGAGAACGTTGTAAACGGGAACGCTGTAGTATTTAATAAAAGGGAACGCTGTAAACGGGAACGCTGTAGTATTTAATAAAAGGGAACGCTGTAGTATTTTTAGTAAACGAGAACGTTGTAAACGGGAACGCTGTAGTATTTTTAGTAAACGAGAACGCTGTAAACGGGAACGCTGTAGTATTTTTAATATTTTTAGTAAACGGGAACGCTGTAGTATTTTTAATAAACGGGAACGCTGTAGTATTTAATAAACGGGAACGCTGTAGTATTTAATAAAAGGGAACGCTGTAAACGGGAACGCTGTAGTATTTTTAATAAACGGGAACGCTGTAGTATTTCATAAACGGGAACACTGTAGCATTTAATAAACGGGAACGCTGTAAACGGGAACGCTGTAGTATTTTTAATAAACAGGAACGCTGTCGTATTTAATAAACGGGAACGCTGTAGTATTTAATAAAAGGGAACGCTGTAAACGGGAACACTGTAGTATTTTTAATAAACAGAAACGCTGTCGTATTTAATAAACGGGAACGCTGTAGTATTTAATAAAAGGGAACGCTGTAAACGGGAACACCGTAGTATTTTTAATAAACAGGAACGCTGTCGTATTTAATAAACGGGAACGCTGTAGTATTTAATAAAAGGGAACGCTGTAAACGGGAACACTGTAGTATTGTTAATAAACGGGAACGCTGTAGCATTTAGTAAACGGGAGCGCTGTAAACGGGAACGCTGTAGTATTTTTAATAAACGGGAACGCTGTAGTATTTTTTATATTTTTAGTAAACGGGAACGCTGTAGTATTTTTAGTAAACGGGAACGCTGTAAACGGGAACCCTGTAGTATTTAATAAACGGGAACGCTGTAGCATTTAATAAACGGGAACGCTGTAAACGGGAACGCTGTAGTATTTTTAATAAACGGGAACGCTGTAGTATTTTGAATATTCTTAGGAATGGGAACGCTGTAGTATTTAATAAACGGGAACGCTGTAGTATTTTTAATAAACGGGAACACTAGTATTTTGAATACTTTTAGTAAACGGGAACGCTGTAAACGGGAACGCTGTAGTATTTAATAAAAGGGAACGCTGTAAATAGGAACACTGTAGTATTTTTAATAAACGGGAACGCTGTAGCATTTAATAAACGGGAACGCTGTAGTATTTTTCATATTTTTAATAAACGGGAACGCTGTAAACGGGAACGCTGTAGTATTTTTAGTAAACGGGAACGCTGTAGTATTTTTAGTAAACGGGAACGCTGTAGTATTTTTCATATTTTTAGTAAACGGGAACGCTGTAGTATTTTTAATAAATGGGAACGCTGTAGTATTTAATAAAAGGGAACGCTGTAAACGGGAACACTAGTATTTTTTTATATTTTTAGTAAACAGGAACGCTGTAGTATTTTTAATAAACAGGAACGCTGTAGTATTTTTAATAAACGGGAACGCTGTAGTATTTAATAAAAGGGAACGCTGTAAACGGGAACACTAGTATTTTTTAATATTTTTAGTAAACGGGAACGCTGTAGTATTTAGTAAACGGGAACGCTGCAGTATTTTTAATAAACGGGAACGCTGTAGTATTTTTAATAAAAGGGAACGCTGTAGTATTTTTAATAAAAGGGAACGCTGTAAACGGGAACGCTGTAGTATTTTTTAATATTTTTAGTAAAGGGGAACGCTGTAGTATTTTTAGTAAACGGGAACGCTGTAGTATTTAATAAACGGGAACGCTGTAAACGGGAACGCTGTAGTATTTAATAAACGGGAACGCTGTAGCATTTAATAAACGGGAACGCTGCAGTATTTAATAAACGGGAACGCTGTAGTATTTTTAATAAACGGGAACGCTGTAGTATTTTTAATAAACGGGAACGCTGTAGTATTTTGAATATCTTTAGTAAACGGGAACGCTGTAAACGGGAACGTTGTAGTATTTTTAATAAACGGGAACGCTGTAGTATTTTTATATTTTTAGTAAACGGGAACGCTGTAAACGGGAACGCTGTAGTATTTAATAAACGGGAACGCTGTAGTATTTTTAATATTTTTAGTAAACGGGAAAGCTGTAAACGGGAACGCTGTAGTATTTAATAAACGGGAACGCTGTAGTATTTTTAATAAACGGGAACGCTGTAGTATTTTTAATATTTTTAGTAAACGGGAACACTGTAGCATTTAATAAACGGGAACGCTGTAGTATTTTTAATAAACGGGAACGCTGTAGTATTTAATAAAAGGGAACGCTGTAGTATTTAATAAAAGGGAACGCTGTAGTATTTAATAAAAGGGAACGCTGTAAACGGGAACACTGTAGTATTTTTAATAAACGGGAACGCTGTAGTATTTAATAAAAGGGAACGCTGTAAACGGGAACGCTGTAGTATTTTTAATAAACGGGAACGCTGTAGTATTTTTTATATTTTTAGTAAACGGGAACGCTGTGTATACATGAACGGGGTAAACATGAACGGGTCTCACCTTGGTGGGCATCCGCACGGGGCCCTTGACCTTCAGGCTCTTCTCTTTCGCACCTCGGATCAAATCAGCGCAAACTACAGAGAAGACATGATAATGAAGACCCATCCGACACACACTCACACTCACGAGTGTTCAGGGGAAAAGGGCTCAGAATAGCGTATATTATAACTCATGCTGAAGTCGTTCACATGTTATCCTCCTCATTGCCGTGTTTAGCACAGACAGGTTATCGTACACACACACACACCTTTCTCCAGAGACTTGACGTTACGGCTGGTCAGTGTGATGCGGATCCGGTGGATCGCGACCTCGGCCTCGACCGGGGCTTTACCGGTGTCTTTAAACGCCTGTAAACACACACGTGCTGTTATTCAACATCTTTACACACTCGCTTATAAACACACCCACTAAACTGAAGACCTGCACAAACACCACCTTTATTCAGGATATATACACTGCCCTTCAAGAGAATGGGATCGGTAAGATTTAATGTTTTTGAAAGTCTCTTCTGCTCACCAAGGCTGCATTTGATTAAAATACAGGAGTAATATTGTGAAATATTAACTTGAAATATGTGTTCTATGTGAATATATAGTAAAGTGTAATTTATTCCTGTGATCTAAGCTGATGTTCAGCATCATTACTCCAGTCTTCAGTGTCACATGATCCTTCAGAAATCACTCTAATATGAGGATCAAGAAACTTTTGATTATTATCAATGTTCAAAACAGTAATATGAAAAAATATAGATTTTTTTGTGTGTGTGTTTTTACAATGTAAAGTTAAAAAGAACAATTTATTTGAAATAGAATATTTTGTAACATTATAAATCTCTTTACCGCCACTTTTGATTAATTTAATACATCCTTGCTGAATAATATTATTGAATTTCTTCCCAATAAATATTTTTTTTCTGACCCCAAACTTTTGAATGAATGTTTCTTGAGCATCAGATCATATTAGAGTGATTTCTGAAGGATCATGTGACACTGAAGACTGGAGTAATGATGCTGAACATCAGCTTTGATCACGGGAATAAATTACACTTTACTGTATATTCACATAGAACGGTTATCTTAAATTGTAATATTTTACAATATTAGTTTTTTTTTATTACCTAAATGCAGCCTTGGTGAGCATAAATCTTGTTAACAATATTAAAAATCTTACCGATCCCAAACTTTTGAACAGCAGTGAACATGTGCACTGAAACTGGACTTATCCACAATGTATACAAAATGATAAAAGGGCACATTGTGCCAAAATTGTAAAAGGTATACATTGCGCAAGTTGTGTTTTTAGTATTTCCACATTTACACTGAGGTAAACAACTGATATTATTGGTGTTTTGGTTGCACAATAATCCTGAAAAAAGTATTAAGTCTGAAATGCATCGGGACTCTTATTGTTGAAGTGTTCGTACTCTACTACTCCTGAAGAGATGTTGCAATGTTATATTACTGTGATTAATACGAGTTTCCTAGTAGGAAATCGGACATGAACATCCTCAAGCAGTATAACTGGGAAACTTTTCCCAGACTAGAATTACCGAGACTTTCCCCCCATCAGTTACTTACATCGCCTCGTCTTTTTGTGAAAGTAGGGCATATTTACATATAAACATCTAGATAACGCGGGAAGTGTTTATATGAATAAGACTCTTAATATAATTTATGGCTAATAAGACTTATCTAAAATTTATTAGCAAGAATAAACCTGTCGTCCTCCGTGATTCCGGTTCTTCACAACAAAGCGTCGACGAGCTCGGAAACTCGACTTTAGAAGTGGGACATTTCCGATAGCACGTGAAGCTAGCATGTGTACAAATACTTTTGTTCGCTTATACCCTTAAACTTAAAAGTTACAACAAAAACGACATTAAATAGAAAAACAAGCAAACGCTTTAAATAAAACGGTTAATAAAATAATATTTGACCGCGAATCTCAGAAACCACGAGCCCTCAGAAAGATCAACAGCGCCACGTTTTTACTCCGATGACAAATAGACCTAAACACAGACACAATATGCGACAAAAACACTTATGATATTGGTATAACTTCAAATTACCATGATTATTAATTCCTGACCGACTTATTCGTATCAAGGGCTGAGAAGAACAGCGGTGAGTCAGGAAGGGCAACGGGATCTCAACGCGATCCTTCACGAAAGGGCGGAAAAACGGCCTGCTCGAGCTTTTATACGCTGCATACGGGCACTGCGTGACGTCAGCGTCTTGTCAGCACTTCCGCCGGAACAAGAGCATTTAGCGGGATTTTTTTATTATTATTTTTTGCTTAGCGAGATCACTGAGGATGATGGCCATTATAACGGATTACTGAACATGGCTTCAATACATTTAAATAATAATAAATAAATAAATAAATAAATAGATAAAAAATCTATTTAAAAAATAATGAAACTTAACAGAAATTTTAACATTGTCATTCATACAACAGATTTTTTTTTTGTGGGATCACTGAGGATGATGGCCATTATTATGGATACATACATGGCTTCAATAAATAAAATAAATAAATAAAATAAATCTATTAAAAAAAATAATGAAACTGAACAGACATTTTAACATTTAACATAAAACTGATTTTTTTTTTTTTTTTTTTTTTTGTGGGACCACTCGAATAAGTGAAAGTGGCTTCAATAAATATAGGCTACATAAAATAAATAAATCTATTAAAAAAATGAAACTGAACAGAAATTTTATCATTGTAACTCATAAAACAAAATACACATTGAATGTATTTTTTTTTCTCAACAACCTGAATATACTTTCCACACACACACAAAAACACTTGATAAAGTGAGTCCTTCTCGTGTTTATTGATCATTCAGTACTGTGGACAGTATTAACACTGGACCAAATCTCTCCTCTCCTCACATAGCAGCAAAGGTCGTCTGAACACACACACACACACACACACACACACCGCCGCCAACAGCCTGCCTGCCTTCACACACACCTGACACGGCGAGCCAGCGAATACATAACCTTCTCTTTGGATGATGTTAAGATTCGTCAGCTGTGCCAGCAGGTTCCCATAACACACACACACTCACACACATAGATATATATATTTATATATATATATGGGATTCTGTCTTAGGCTATACATGTACAACAGTAGTTCGTAAAATACATTAAAGTAAAATATGCATGATTAGCAATAGCAGGCCATTATCACAGAATGGCATTACAGATACATTAAAATAAAAACACATAATTATGGCTGGAATGCTATTTCATCTATCCATATCATCCATCCGCTAAATGATGTATATGCACCATATTACAAATACATTAACAATATGGCTCACATAACCCCAACACACACACACACACACACGGTTTGAAGTGTTCTGAAAGCGAGGAGAGGGTCTGTCGCAGCACCAGGGCTTCGCACTGTCCTTTAGCAGCATATCCATCAGATTATTGCAGGAGCGTCACTCATAACTCATAAACACTCGGCGTGGTGATTGTACCAATGAACAGAGAGTTCGCGCTCCCAATGATAAGGTAATCCTACACACACACGTCCACGATTCAGCAGCGATAGATGAACGACTTCACTCGTTTAGATGAGCTCATTAGGCCCGATCCACACGGGCCTGAAGCGGTCGGACACACTACGGTCGGTGTAGTGTGTGTTTTACAATCGCCTGGACACATTTCTGAATGTCTTGGGAATCATTGTGAACTGCAATGTAAACATGCATCGTGTAACATGAACCCTAAACATGTTATTCTTGTTTTACTGAAGAAATCAGTGTGTAATGCTGAACAAGTGTTTGTTGGGTGAAACCGTTGCTATTGTTTGAGACATGTGTTAGCGCATTTTGTATGTGAAATTTACTGAAAGTTTGTTTGGAGAACTGTGTAAAGAGTTAAAAAAAAATCATAAGTATTGAAAAATGTGCCCTAGCGATTGTAAAAAACTATAGTATGTAGGCTACTCGCTAAAGTGATTTTGCTTGAATTGACCTTTTTTTTGGCTGAAGCCTCATTTTCTGAGACACTGACAGTTTGATATTTTGTGCAATAAAGCAAAACAACAATAAAAACAACAAATCAACACTGTATGAAGTGTACCTGTAAAAAAGATCACACATATAGCATTGTGTATGTATGCTTAAAAATCTTCTAAAGGCTAATTACGATATCTAAACTAATGTATGACAGTTACTTTCACAAAATAAAGGGCATATTATTTTTTCTGAAAGTGCTATTATGAAACATACGCCCCAAACAGGGGTTTCTCTGAATGTTTAAGCTTTTAACAACCTTCAGCTTTCGACAAACTAAATAAAAAAGACATTTACAGACTCTCACACACACACACACACGTATCTCTAGCAGTGTTGGGGAAAGTTACTTTTAAAAGTAATGTGTTACAATATTGTGTTACTCCCTAAAAAGTAACTAATTGCGTTACTTATTTACTTTTTATGGAAAGTTATGTGTTACGTTACTTTTGCCTAACTTTTTCTCACCTGGGCTGATGGTCTTGCTGGTTTATTTTTTAATAAAAAAAAAAAAATATATATATATCTTGGCAAATGTAAAGGCATTTTCACAGCAAAAGTGAATTGAATAAGCCTCAGGCTGAAGGAAAAGCAAATTCACGATTATACAGTAGAGGTCAATAAATGGGGGGAAAAAAGTAACTTTATTTGAAACAGTAACTCAGATATTTGTAACTCTGAGGGCCCTATTTTAGCGATCTAAGCTCATGGTCTAAAGCGTACGGCGCAAGTGCACTTATGGCGTCCGAATCCACTTTTGCTAGTTTAACGACGGGACAAATGGTCGGTGCTCCCGGCGCTGGTCTAAATGGGTCGTCTAATTCTCTTAACGAGTAATGGGTGTGTTTTGGGAGTAACGTGCAATAAACCAATCAGAGTCTCGTCTCCCATTCCCTTTAAAAGCCAGTTGCGCTCCCGTTGGCGGATTCGCTATTTACATGGCGGAATTAGCAAGCGGAAAGACTTCGCTTCTCTAGCGTGGAAACTGATCTGCTCGTGCGCGACATTAAAGCTGTGTGTGTGTGTGTGTGTGAGGTTAACGCGTGCAAGCACAGCATCTACGGGACAAAGTGAGTGTAATAAGCAGAGTGTGTGTGTGTAATAAGCGCGTTGTGGACCCGCCTATAGGCTCATCTTACTAACGCGCTCTTTAAATAAAAAAAAAAAAATTGTGTCATTGACTTTAGAGCAATTTCAGTTCCTCAAAATGCATTTGCTATTTCAAAAATGTGACGCAGGACGTAAAAAAATGAAAAGTGCGTTGGGCTGAAACTAGCAAAAAACTCTTGCGTCGCGCCTGGCGTATGATAGGGCCCAGAGAGTTTTCAATTTAAAAGTAATGCGCTACTTTACTCGTTACTTTAAAAGGGTAATCTGATTACGCAACTTAAGTTACTTGGAAAGCTTTACCCCCAACACTGGTCTCTAGAGCAGTGAATCTCAACCATTTTGACTTCACTCCCTCCCCACTCATACTGAGGCATTCCTACTCAACTGCTGCATTCTGGGACAGATCATGTGACCGATCACATCATATCTGTGCGGACTCCCGTTAGTAGCCGACACATTGCGTCACTGGCCATTTGCATAAAGTCGAGTCCCTTGTGTCGCCTCGAATCGCCAGCTCTCACTGAAAACGAATGACTTTTGCAAAATCGCTGTCAATGCGAAAAACCTTCATTTGATTTAGAGACTAAATCTTCAGCTTATGTTCAGAGAGAAGTCAAGGTGATGTCACAGATTGTATTTTGGAGTTTTATAAGCCGAGACAGCAGAAACTGGTTCATCGTTAGCCTTGATCAGTGCAACAGCCAGCATTCGGGTGGATGAGGTTGAATAAAGTAAGAGTGTGTGTGTGTGTGTGTGTGTGTGTGATTCTTCGTCCTTCTTTCCCTTTGTTGGTGTGAATTGTGAAGCATTCCTGCGCTGGTGTCCTTTGAGGCCCTTACAACGAGCAGCAGCATGAAGGCAAACAGCCATCAAAAAACAAAAAACATAACGAGATGAGCCTTCCTCTCTATAGCTATGAAGGTTTTGGTTGCCTTTGGCTGTAAATAGTTGTGACATGGTCACTAAAACGCTGGTAGATCAGTACCCAACAGTTCATGAGCCATACAACAAACAAAGAGATGGAAACAACATTAGATCAATGATCTTTTAGCTTTGATGGAACTTCGACACCGCTAGTGTTAATTATGAGAGGACATTAAAACTATGCACTGTCTCTGTCGGCATTTTGAGAGCTAAACGTCACTGCAAACTGAGCTCTGCTTCTTAACATTCAGTTACAGTAAACACCTCTAGAACATAAAACGAGTAATGCATCTGTAATCTCTTGAATGAGCAAACGTGTGATACTGTCCTCAAGACTTTCCTTTAGGAATGCACGATATATCGGCCACCATATCGGTATCAGCCAATATATGTTCATTTTTAATGCTATCGTTATCGGCCTAATACCGATAAATAATGGAATTGTTTCCTTCAGCTGAGAGACCCTTCACTATTCAACATGATGGTTTTGAATTGCTTGAAATATGATTGGACTCACTTCAAAAAAGGAAAATACAGTTACGTGCAACATGTGCAGCGCAAGTGTGTCATATCGGCTACAAAAAATTATTATGAGATAATTGTTTGTTTGGGACGTGGCTTTTAATTCTGAAACTTGTGTTTTTGTAATCAGGTTCTCAAAAATTATATCAAAATTTGGATTTAGATTTATCAGCCAATATATCGGTTATCAAATATAAAGTGTTATCGGTTATCGGTATCGGCCAAAATGTTCATATCGGAGCATCCCTACTTTCCTTCAAAATGCGGTGATTTGTTGGACTGTGCTTGTTCGAACTTGATTAAGAGCTAAGTTGATGATAAAAAGTGCACTTTGTTTGTTTGTGAATGTATTTGGGCTACTGGAAGGCTTGGTGGAAGCGAGGCAGGGTGGTGGTTGTATTCAGAGATGGTGGGTGTGTGTAACTGGGAGCGAGTGCATTGCTTTGCGAGTGTGAGATTGTGTGAAGAAGGCTAAGAGGCTCCGGTGTGTCTTGGATGGGCGTGGCCAGCAGCCCCTCCTCTTGGTTGTAAGCCACTCCCAAAGTAGGCCCCGCCCCCTGGCTGTAAGGCAGAAAATTAAACAGTGGGGACAGAAAGTCCAGGGACGACGTCGTCTCTCCAGTCACCGTGGCGGAAGCGCTCAGCTTGGGTGTATCTTCAGCCTGTAGCTCGAGGAGATAGCTTTCGAGCTCCGCTCTTAGCGGCGGAGTTGGCGAGTAAGAAGCATGACCAAGTGGATATCTTAGCGTGAGTGGCCCGGATGCTGGTGAGGATTGAGACTCCATTAAATCGACAGGCTCCGCCTTCACCCTTAGCAGCTCATGAGCGTGGCTTTTCTTAACATGGCGGGTAAGATGGTCCTTACGGCCGAATCGCTGAGCGCAATACTGGCACAGAAAGTCCTTGCGTCCCGTATGCACCACCAAGTGGCGTCGCACGTCCTTACGGGTGTAAAAGCGCCGTTCGCAGTGTTCGCACTGATGTCGCTTCTCTTTAGTCGCGGTAGCGCTTTTCCCAGCATGCCCGCGCAGGTGTTCCAGCAGCAGGGGAGTACTCGGGTATGACTGCAGACACACCTGGCAGGTGAGGTCTCCACGGTGAGCAGCATGAAGGGCTTGGTGCCTTCGAAAGCCAAGTTTGGTGTTGTAGCTCTTGCCGCATTCCGTGCAGCTGAAAGCCTCCTTGTTGGGGTCGTGTGTGTGGAGGTGGTTCTTCAGGTGATCTTTACGGTGGAACATCTTCTCGCAGTAGCTGCACTTGTGGGTCTTTTCTGGCGAGTGTGTGGCCATGTGCCTATGGACACAAATATGCATTAGTGTACACTGACCATACCAGGAGCTATTCCTTTTGATGACCAAATGTCATATAATAGGGGCCTTTCACACCGGGTAGTTCTAGGAACTTAGTTTATCGTTCACCTAACCTAGCCACCAGGGTGGTTCCCGAGAACTAATGGTTCCCTTAGGAACATTTTCCTGGTTACATTTGCACCGCCAGTAGGAACTCTGAAGTAGGAACTTCTTGTAGTGACTTTTATTTTGATGGCGCTGAGAACACCAGAGCCTGAGCTCACAGTGCTCACATTCTCTGTGTTCATTAGTTTACGATCTGTCTAACAGTCCTGTCTAATACATTATTAGATAGAACTGTTAGACAAAGAAAGTAGACAGCATTTGAAAAGTTATTAGTGTTTGCCGTGTGATTGATATCCAGTGTCGCTAGCTGAGCAGAAACACATAATCATGTTTCTCTTGGTCCCCTCAAAGTTGCGTTGGATTTTCTTCTCAGCGTAAAGGTTAAGAGGCGCATCTATCACTGTTTTACATGTTTATAGAGTTAGTTTCTGGAGTAAATATATAGGCTATAATCTGTGTTTTTACACAGCTTTTTTTTTTAAATGGCGGGTGATGGACAGTGTATCAGTGTACACTTAAGTCACTGGTAGTTCCTATAGTGATGGTTTAGACCCAACTCTAGAGTAGGAGCTAAATTAGTTCCTCCAAAAGGAGTTCATTGAACTAAAATCGTTCCTAGTTTCTGTGGTGCAAACATGCCAAAAACCAGGTACTTCAGCCAATAGTTCCAGCAACTATGAAAAGGTTCTTCTGGTGCGAAAGCCACTAATGAAATTGAGTCTTGGAAAATGTGTTTATAAAGAACTCTATGAAAACACTATATACTATTTTCATATTGTGAAACAGACTTCACAACACCTCAACATTGATAACACCGAACAAAGAACTAAATGAAGATAGGATTTAAATACACAGAGGAACAAAAGAGCAAATTATCTGGAGAACAGGTAAAAGGAATCGTTAATCGAACATACAGGAAACTAGGTCAAATGACAGGGTACACAGGCAAACAGGAACATAACTTAAACAAACTGAAAACTAAATCAAAATAGAGCTAGGAGCAGGAGTAGCCAGGAGCAGGACTAGCCAGGAGCAGTAGCCAGGAGGAGCCAGGAGCAGGAGGAGCTCGGAGCAGAAGATGCCAGGAGCAGGAGGAGCCAGGAGCAGTAGGAGCAGGAGGAGCCAGGAGCAGGAGGAGCTAGGAGCAGTAGCCAGGAGGAGCTAGGAGCAGGAGGAGCAATGAGCAGGATTAGCAAGGAGCAGGAGTACCCAGGAGCAGGAGGAGCTAGGAGCAGGAGAAGCCAGGAGGAGGAGGAGCCAGGAGGAGTAGCAGCCAGGAAGAGGCAGGAGCCAGGAGTAGGAGGAGCCAGGAGCAGGAGGAGTCAGGAGCAGAAGGAGCCAGGAGCAGGAGGAGCCAGGAGCAGGTGGAGTCAGGAGGAGGAGAAGCCAGGAGCAGGAGGAGCTAGGAGCAGTAGCCAGGAGGAGCTAGGAGCAGGAGGAGCAATGAACAGGAGTAGCCAGGAGCAGGAGTACCCAGGAGCAGGAGGAGCTAGGAGCAGGAGAAGCCAGGAGGAGGAGGAGCCAGGAGGAGTAGCAGCCAGGAGTAGCCAGGAGCAGGAAGAGGCAGGAGCCAGGAGCAGGAGGAGCCAGGAGCAGGAGGAGTCAGGAGTAGAAGGAGCCAGGAGGAGCCAGGAGCAGGTGGAGTCAGGAGGAGGAGAAGCCAGGAGCAGGAGGAGCCAGGAGCAGGAGAAGTCAGGAGCAGGAGAAGTCAGGAGCAGGAGAAGACAGAAGCAGGAGTAGCCAGGAGCAAGGAGCAGGAGGAGCCAGGAGCAGGAGGAGGCAGGAGCCAGGAGCAGGAGGAGCCAGGAGCAGGAGGAGTCAGGAGCAGAAGGAGCCAAGAGCAGGAGGAGCCAGGAGCAGGTGGAGTCAGGAGGAGGAGAAGCCAGGAGCAGGAGAAGTCAGGAGCAGGAGGAGTCAGGAGCAGGAGTAGCCAGGAGCAGGAGGAGCCAGGAGCAGGAGGAGCCAGGAGCAGGAGGAGCCAGGAGCAGGACTAGCCAGGAGCAGGAGGAGCCAGGAGCAGGAGGAGCCAGGAGCAGGAGAAGACAGAAGCAGGAGTAGCCAGGAGGAGGACAAGCCAGAAGCACTAGTAACCAGGGGGAGGAGTAGGCAGGAGGAGTCAGGAGCAGGAGGAGCCAGGAGCAGGAGGAGCCAGGAGCAGGAGGTGCCAGGAGCAGGAGTAGCCAAGAGCAGGAATAGCCAAGAGCAGGAGTAGCCAAGAGCAGGAGTAGCCAGGACCAGGAGGAGCCAAGAGCAGGAAGCCAGCAAGATGATCCAAGGCAAGGTCGCAGGAGGGGGGAGCCATGGTGGAGGCCTAGGATGAGGGACCAGGGATGCGATCTCCTGTGACAGAGCCGGCTGTGGTAGAGATCCAAACGGAGCCGAGGAGCCACAGATCCAGGGTGACAGTGCAGGTCTGGAGGGCCAAGGTGGAGTTGACGGCTCTCGGGACAGAGGCAGAGGCGGGGACCTGGAAGACCGCGGTGGAGTCGGAGCAACGAGGACAACGGCAGAGACGGAGGGATGGCGGAACCGATGGTCCGTAGGGATGGAGGGCTGAGGCATGGCCGGAGGCCAGGAATCCCATGGTGGAAACAGGGTGACGCCTGACCAAGGTGAAGATGGAGGAACGAAGGAGCCAGTGGGAGGAGGGACCCCGGTCGAGACGAGGGAGCATGGAGCCAAGGTGGAACTGCAGGGTCGGAGGCCCGAGGTGTCAGTGGCTGGAGGCAGAGAGAGGGGTTCCTCACACCAAGATGGAGCTGGGGACTGGAAGGTTTGAGGCAGATCCACACCACCAGATGGAACTGAGCATGAGCCGAGGGACTGACAGAAAACAGCGGTGACAGGTTTTGGGGAACTGGCTGGCTTTGGTAGAGGAGGTGAGAGAGGGAGGCTGGGAGCGATCACAGGGTGCGAAGACAACATGGGGCTGGGGTGCGTTCCCCATACAACGCCGTAACTCGGTGCTTCACTACCATAGTACGATGCATCGTTGAAGAAGACCACTATCTAGTCACGACTGTTTCCCACAACAGTATTGTCGCAAATTGGTCGTTCAACCAAGTTGGTTAATGATGTCACGCACGTAAGGGAGTAATAACTACTGTTAATGAATCTGTTTGAGATCGAATTAATGCTAGATGTCTTGCTATAATTAAGAACAGTTATTTTGCTTTATTTACGAATTCAATCATAGGCTCGTTCTTACGTTCTAGAGCACATACGCACATGCGCACTCTTAAAAAATGACATTTGTATGTATTTTAAATTAAAGATACAGGTTGTACTGAATGTCAGCTTGCTTATTTTGCTCAAGATAAGGATTTATTGAGTCCACATGTCATGCAAACAAGAAACTCTGCTTCTAACCACAGGTCGAGAGCTGTCGTTCCAAACACACAACTTTGCGATGCCGTTTGCAGATGTTAGTTGGAATGATGGTTTCGAGAAACACAGACTCGTTGAACTATGCTGATAACGACGGAACTTGCGACCATACTGGGCTAACGATGCTTTTGGGAAACGCACCCCAGAGCGGGACCAGTGTAGAAACAGGAGACTTGGCTAGGCGGAACCAGCGGTGAAGGGAGATTAAGCGGAATAATTCACAGTCAGAGGCCAGTGGCAGCTCAGCACCAGTGGCGGGGGTGTGGGCGGGGCTCTATTCCGTGCCCATGAATACCACAAGAACTCCCTCGGGGATAGACGTTGTTGCCGGCTCGCACACCTGGTCACGTTGTTGGGCTCCGGGACGGGGTACTGCTCAGGTTGGTCTTTTGGCTCGTTGTCCGAGGCAGGCTCTGGCTCCGTGTCTGTGGTGGGCACAGGGGAAGGCTGACTGGGCTTTGGGTCTGGAATGGGGCTGGTTGTCACGAGGACCACTCCCTGGGAGGCGTGCCCTGAGCGAGAGAGCGGTCGGGAGAGTGCGTTTGGTGTCCAGGGAGTTGTCTTTCTGCTCCAGGCTCAACAGGGGAACAGCAGGAGGGTTCATGGTGATGGAGGGGGGGAAAAGGAACCAAAAAAAATGCAGCAAAAATACTGTATTTGGTTCTGTGTTTTGGGTAATGGGCTGTTATATCTAACGAAAAGCATGACAGGAATAATCCAAGGAAACAGTGTTTAATGAACACTCAGGAAAACGGACTTCACGACACCTTAACATTGAGGACACCGAACAAAGAGATGAATAAAGACAGGATTTAAATACACAGAAGAACAAAAGAGCTAATTACATTTACTTTTATCCAAAGCGACTTACAGATGAGAATAGAAGCAGTTAAACTAACAGTAGGACAACAATATGCAAGTGCTATGACCCTTCTCAGTTTAATCTAACGGAGTGCAATTATTTATTCTTTTTTTTATCAAGAGAAGAGAAAGTATAATTTTATAATTAATTGGAGAACAGGTGAAAGTAATCATTAAAGTCCCCCAGCTTTTAATGTTGTTTATGTGTCTATGTGGTGTGTGTTTAATACGCTGTAAGACACACCATGTGTAAGTTCATAAGTCGACAGCATTGCTGAGTATTTCCTCCTTAAAACTGCAGTGAACCAAAGACAGCCTCAAAAACACGGTTTGAAATCGCTGGTGTTTCTGACGTCCCAAACGACCTTGTAACCAATCAGATCAACGTGTGATCGTCAACCAGTGGATCTCTGAGCTGAGGGAGTGAGTGGAGGCGGGGCTCATTTGCATATTCATAGTACCACTGCGTATACTAAATGAGGCAAGGGTGTCGAGTTACATTCAAGATATTTTAAGGCATGAAGAATTTTTTTTTTAAATATGTAATTTTGGTGAGTTTTAAGGGAAATGAGGTGTCAAAAGAAAGGGTATCTACTCGCCTATGTACAAATTCAGAGAGAGTGGGTTCGCATCAGAGACCTATAATGGGCAGTAAATGGTTTGTTAGAATACAAGTACCTACCGTAGGAGTTTATACTTGGAGACGAAGGCCTTGGTGCAGTCGGTGTGTGTGCAGCGATACGGCCTTTCCCCCGTGTGGGAGTACGAGTGTACCTTCAGCTTCTCCAAGCTGTTGAAGGCCTTCTCGCACAACTGACAGGAGAAGTTCTTCCTCGCTTTCCCCTCTACTCTCCTCTTCCTCGCTCGACAGTGTTCTGCCGCGTCGTTGGGAGATACTGTTGCCATGGCAACCTAGCGACAGCAAGCCATGCGTTGGACACGAGCGATACGTCCCGGCACAGAGAGCGCGTAAAAGCCCCAATCGTCAACACAGCAGAGACGCAAGGCCCTGAGAAATAGAGAGCAACAAAAACAAACATTACAAAAGACTCTTTAGAGATTTTACTGCTTTTTCTGAAGCCAAAACTCCATATAATAACAATAACTTACAATTTAATATATACATTAGCTAAAACTAGTAAAGTTTGATGACATTACTTTGAAAAGCTTGAAGTTTGAAGATTTTATTCAGTCAATAAAACGTTGTTAACATGTTCTAGCACATTGCTAACATGTTTTAGCAAGTTGCTAACATGTTTTTCCACGATTAATTATCACATTGCTAGTATGTTTTTAGCATGAAATAGCACTTTGCTAACAAGTTTCTAACAAGAGTTAACACATTGCTAGCATGTTTTAGCATGGATTAGCACATTGCTAGCATGAACTAACACATTGCTAGTAGTCTGTTTTTGATCTCATTCTTTTAGGGTACGTTTACATGACAACGATGTACTAAAACGTAAAAGTTTTTCCTTTCAGTTTTCCGCGTACAGACGACAACATTGTCAAAATGATCCCCGTTCACACGGATCCGCGAGAACTGTTAAAAACGCTTTTATTCTGCCTCCGGGCCAGTAGATGGCGATGTCACTTTGTAAAGAAACACTAGAGTGAGCACGTAACATGCATGCGCATGAAAAACCCCTAAGGGGCCGTTTACACGACACCGATGTCAAGTAAAAACTTTGTATGCATTTACGACCGTTCATTTACACGACATCGGCGTTTTGGGGGTCTGAAAACGCAAGCTTTTGAAAACTATACGTTATCGTCTCCGTATAAAGTACAAAAACGCAAGTTTGTGAAGACGGTGACGTCATGCGTATTACAAGTTCAATCTATAGGTTCAATCTTTACACGGTGACATCGCCACCTACTGGCCTGGCAGCAGAATACAGGTGTTTTTAACCGTTTTCATGGATCCGTGATCGTTTTGACTCGTCTGTATGAGAAAAACTCAAAGGAAAAACTTTCCGTTTTTAGTACACCGTTGTCGTGTTCGACCCCTCAGGATCTAGTAACTCTTTAATCACCTCAGCAGTGTTTCGCACTGATCACACCTTCTCGTTTACAACGCCTTGGGATTGCATTCACTTTATGAATGTATAAAATCACTTAGTTTAAGACGTTTTTAATGCTATACAAACCCCTCACTTCACACAATTCATTCCGTGTGCGTCTTTCCTATTTCAGCTGAATATTGCCAATGAAAAGTCAATATAAAGCTTTAATGTTTAATTCCAGCCAGAATAAATGTTTTCTCTCACACTTTTCCTTTATAACTGTTCCATGCTGGATTAGGCACTATATCTAACAACTCTGTAAATATTTAAGCATTTTAAAAAAATTATAATAAATAAATAAATAAAATGTTTAAACCAATTTATTCTTACTTATTAATTTATTCTCATATGCCTTCTAACATCTAATCAGCTCTTTCATTTCTATTATTCATAAAAATATGTAAAATTACTTAAATGGCATCAAAATTTTAGTATTTCAATTTTGGTAATGCTTACTATGCTAATTAAATGGCTAATATATTTAAGGCAAGGCTATTTAATTTATATAGCACATTTCATACACTATGGCAATACAAAGTGCTTCACAGAAAGGAATTGAAATAATCACAAAACAAAAGCAAGGAAAATTAAAACAGTTATAAAAGAAATTAAGAGATATATGATACAGTTATACAATGAATTTAGCTTAAATTACTATATATTTAGGTATAAACTAGAAAAAATATATATACTTTCCCCAAAATATTCTTATATTTTTAAATACATTTCTGGTCTGTAGTACAGTTATGTAAAAATAATAAAAATAAAATATATGTATATACTGTATTGCATTTAGGTCTCTTTGGGCAATATGACTAATGCCTGCAGAGTTTCATCATTTAGTTACACATATTTTTGATGCATCTAAGAAATAATCCATACAAGAGAAAGAACTGTCAGAACTTCAATAGCAACCTGATTGAATTGTGAATGAACAGTTTTAAATTATACCAAATAAAACATTTAGTTCTCAACGAAAATTAAGCAAACAAAACTAAACAAAAAAACATAAAACAATCTACATTGATGAACTAATCTTCAAAGTCATATTGCTGCACCAAATCTTATTTGTAAAACAAACACGGAACGGAACATATAGCCTACTGTAATTATTACCCAGTAAATGATAGTAGTACACAATAAAATATCTATGAAACACCTGTAAAATAGCCTTCAGAAAATACAGTAGGCTACATTTTACCGACTGATTTTTTTTACAGTGATTTCATTACGCAGTCCAACATCATTTCACCGTTTAGACAAGAGATTAAACAAGCATTATGAGGTGTACATGTGTGAATATGAGGCTGTTATGACGCTAAATCTCTTTCTGCGACACCGGTTCTGCGCGGGAAACCTCTGACGTGTTCTGTGCGAACTTTCTTCCACTCGCAGCAACAGAAGAACATCCGTAACAACCGCGCGGTAAACCCGGTAAACCCGGTGACCCCCGTCAGCTCGAAGCCCTAAACGAGAGCATCGGGGGGTGGAGGTGCAATAACTCCCGCAGATGAGATGCGAATCATAAAATACACCTTATACTAATATAGAAATACTCGCACACACACACACACACATGATCAAATAAACATTGAAACGACTGCACATTAAAAATAGACTTTTCCCCGATTTTAACAGTTCGATCATGAATGCCGCACGAGCGCCATCATCACATGCACGAGCATATGAAACTATTGATTGTGAGCTATAAATCTGCGCTGAGATTCTGGAGAAGCGCACCACACCCGCGTCTAATATCAACTAATAACTCTGATATTATATATGACTGATCTCCCAGTGTCCATTAAATCATCATTATGTGCTTTGATGTTTATGATCCACCAATCGCATCCTGATCACAGTGGGACTTTCTCTCAGAGCATCTCATAATAATTAGTTAGTCCTTCACTTCTCCCACCATTTTGGTTGTTTGCGATATTGACAAGCAGCTTCTCTCGCTATAGTGACTCAATGACACCCCTAATATAGTCAACAAACACACTGACCGC